AGACCATCCTGTGGTTTGATTGCAGGATTCTCCGGTTCTGTAACCAACATTTTGATCTTCCTCACAATCTCCTTGGTCTCTGTTCCTCTGACTACTCTTTCGATCTCAATCATAGAAGCCAACACAAAATGGTATTGATCCTTAGTGTAATGATACAAATTCATGTCTCGTGAGAAGAACCTCTCGAAATCTTCAAGCCCTTGTACCAAAAACTCTTCCTCTTCCTCATTCACCAACTCAATTACTGATTTCACAACAGACAAAAGCCGAGCCGCCATTAACGCTCTTATCTTCTTGAAGTTCATACCTGTATCCACAAGCTGAATCCACATTTTAACAAAAGTTTGAAATGCCAAGCTCCAATCTTGGACTCTAACTGGACTAAGCAAGACATTCTCAGCTCTCTGCAAAATCGTCTCCAAGAACTTATCGATAAATTCCTTGTAGACTCGTGGCAAATCAATGAAGACATGAAAAGCTTTAAGAGGTTCACTATTAGCTAACGTTAAGATACAATCACTGAGCTCGTCCCATTTGTCTTTATGCAAGTCCACAACATTGTAAGCTACACAAGACACGATTCTTCTGAGGATCTTGATGTCAGATTCTTTGGTTTCTTGATTTGTCAAGAATGAGATCAAAAGAGGTTTGATTTCATAAAGAGAGTCGAGAGAGGGTTTGAACTTGAACTCGGTGAGGGTTTCGGAGAGTTGATAGATTGATCGGAATCTGAGAACGCCATTGGAAGAAGATTGATAGAGCTTAAGAAGCTTTAGGGTTAAGCAACTTGGGTTATGAGAGACCCAGAAGTTGTACAAAATACGCGATGTTTCATATTGTACAGAGTCTTGACGCATGAAGAGTTGATTCACAATCATCGCTATTTCTTCGTAGCTTGGATTCACAAGAATCTCTCTCGCTTTCGACGGAAGATTCGAAGAATCCTCCATTGCGATTTCTCTGGACTCGGATTTTTTCCGAGAAAATTTCGGTTTTTCGTCTGAGAATCTATTTTCTGGAAGATGGGATTAAACCGGAGCTGGTTATAAGAGTTTTATTATTACGAAACCGGACTTAACCGCAGATTAGCTGAAATTACTCGGTATGATTATGATTAAGTCTAAATCTGAACCGAGCATAAATCAACCTTACTCTGTCTCTACCAAATTTGATATAACCTCGGTTTAAAGTTGACTCCCAAACAAATTTCCAACTCCCCCTAAACCGAACGTAATCCAAACAGGAACCTCAACATTTTATTCTAATTATTTTTTTGGTTTCTTTGATAAAATATTTATACATTTTAAATTTTATAATAGTCTACAAATCCAAACTCAAACTTGGAAACTTTCAATTAGAAATACAGTGTAAATTCAAATTTTGGTAACTTTCGATTTCGAAATACAATGTAAATTGAGACTTTAGATGCTTGTACAAGCAAATTAATGGTAAAACCTATATAAATTAATACTCGATAAATTAATAAACACGATAAAAAATAAATTTTGTTGGTCCCGAATCAGAGTAGTGTAAAAAATTAACCAAAATCGATAAGATCATAAGATAATAATTTTTGAAATCTCTATTTAAAAATATGGTCCCAACAATATCATAAATTAATAATCATGTAAATTTATATATTATATATATAATATTTTTAGTGATTTCATAAAATTAGCCAAAATTTTTTTGTAAGTTTTCAAATTTGAATATGCATAGCTTTTGTTTTAATAGTCGTATAGATTTTTCAAATACAAAAACAGATGTCACTATTTATAATTTTGAATTTATGTGTATCGTATAGATTGTTTTATGTACGAAATACTAAATGTTTAAGTCTAAAACTATATTTATAACATCCAAAACATTAATTTATTTAGATCACATTGTTTTAACTCATATTTAAAAAAAAGGTTTTAACAATTAAAACAAAACTTTTCATAAATTAATAATATTAATTTACCGATAAATTAATATCACTATAAATTAATAAAATATTATAATCCCAACATTATTAATTTATAGAAGTTTTACGGTCGATCTCATCGAGAAACTAATATTCCATGATCTGAAGAATTTGATCTGTCTTTTGTTTACTTTATCCTAAGGGCTATTTACAAAAACAGTAGACATCACTCAACCTATTAGTACAGTACCTTGCTCAACAAGAAAACAGTAGATAAGAGAATTCGGTACATAAAGCTTCTTCTCCTACACAAACCAAACTTGTATGACAAAAAAACCTCAATTGCCTAAAGTCTCTAGTTGGTTCAGCCAATCAAGCTCACTTTGGGAGCACTTTTACCTCCTGCACTTTTTCCCATTTACGTTTTAGTAATTTCATCTGTAGAGTCAAGAAAATAGACTATACTAACTTAAACTGATAAGAACAGATACTACATTTAAAGCTGAGCTTGTTCTGATGTTGATGCTCTGATATTTAGATGTTGATGCTACGAATTTTTTTTAGCATCAAATATACAAGTGTTTCATCAACTAACTCTATATATCTCTTTCTTTACTATTTTCTTCTCCAATGCAACCTATACACCAAAAAACTAGACTCTGCACAATTTCATCAAAAAAGGTTCTGCACAATTTCAGACTACACACCAAAGAAACTAGTTTTCTATTTAACCTCCTCATCAGCAGCAGCAAGGTTCAGCCAATGAAGGTCGTTCTCTGGCCGCTCTTTCTCCTCTTCTTCCACGTCTCTATCGATAATCACGTTAATTCTCCACAACACAATCTTACTTTCCCATTTCATGCCTTTGATTGCATAGAGTTTCCAAAGCAAACCCTTAACGAATTTGTATTCGCTTGTACTGTACCATTCCAGTTGTTCCTTCACAATGATTTCAACATCTCTGAAAGCTCTCCTCACAAGCCCAACTTCCATTCCTCTTTCCACAATCTCTTTCACAGAATCTATCATCTTATATGCAATCTCACTAACGGCGTTAGCGTAACCTGGGTCCTCTATCAAGTGAATTGCTGCACAGAAAGCACCCGTAAACGCAAAAACCCAGCAACTGTTGTCTACCAACACCTCTCCTGGTGGGGCTAGCCTTTCGATTATCTCTTGGTAAAGGTTATCCATCACAGGATACAAAAACTTTTTATCATCAAACTTCATTGATAAGCATTGGAAGATATTAACCGCTCTCTGAAACTCTGTTCTACTCGATGCTATATAATCGCGTAGATCGTACCATGTCTCCTCTTGACAGACCAACATCTCATAAGCAACATGGTTCACCACCTCACCTAGGACTTTGAACATACTGAAAGAGATTCCTTCTTCCTTTAAGCAAGAGATAATCAATGGTTGGAGTTCTCTCATCTCTGCAATGTCTATTTCCACCTTCTCTGTAGTGTTATCAGATAGTAAACAATTGAGTCGTCTGATTGCCATCTCTCTGGACCTTTCTTCAAGATCAGTGGAAGCAAAGATCTTTAACACTTCCAGTGAAGATAAACTCTTCAAATGATCATACCAGCCACGTTCAAACTCTTCCCTACGATTCTGAAGATCATCATCCTGTGGTTTGATGGCATGATTGTCCGGTTCTGTAACCAACATTTTGATCTTTCTCACAATATCCTTAGTCAAATGTGTCCCGAATCCTTCGATCTTGATCATTAAATCCAACACAAAATGGCATTGATCCTTAGTGTACTTATACAGATTCATCTCTCGTGAGAAGAACCTCTCGAAATCTTCAAGCCCTCGTACCAAAAAGTCTTCTTTTTCCTTCTCCACTAGCTTCTTTACTGAATTCACAACAGAGGAAACCCGAATCCCCATTAACGCCTCTAATAACACCAACATCATCCCTGTATCCACAAGCTGAATCCACATCTTAACAAAAACTTGTAAAGCCAAGCTCCAATCTTCAACTCTATAAGGATCAAGAAAGACATTACTAGCTTCCTCTAAAAGTTTGTGCAAGAACTTGTCGATGAAACTCTTGTAGACCGGTGGCAAATCAATGAACACATGAAAAGCCTTAACAGGTTCTTTGCTATTCACTAGCGATAAGATACAATCACCAAGCTCGTCCCATTTGTCTTTATGCAACACCACAACATTGTAAGCTACACAAGACACGATTTTTCTAAGGATCATGAAGTCAGATTCTTTGGTTTCTTCCATTGTCAAGCATGAAATCAAAACCCCTTTGATTTCATAAAGAGAGTCGAGAGAGAGTTTGCGATTTCTCAAATCGGTGAGAGTTTCGGAGAGTTGATAGATTGATCGGAATCTGAGAACGCCATTGGAAGAAGATTGATAGAGCTTAAGAAGCTTTAGGGTTAAGCAACCTGTGTTAGAAGAGACGCAGAAATCGTACAGAGCTCGAGATGTTTTATATTGATGAGAGTCTTGACGCTTAAAGAGATTATCGACGATCATCGCTAGTTCTTCATAGCTTGCACTCACAAGTATCTCTCTCGCTATCAACTGGAGATTCGAAGACTCGGCCATTGCGATTCCTCCGGAAAAATTTTCCCGAGAAAATTTCGGATCTTCTGGAAGATTCGTTAAAGTTGTGCGTTTTGTTAGGAAGCTGAAGACAAACCGGAATTAACCGTATGAATCATTCGGTTTGACTTTAATAAACTCCAAAAAAATCAAAACAATCAAAGCGGGTCACGGATTGCAGCTGCTGGGCTCAAGGAGAATTAGGCTTAGTTTGGACTTTGAATATAATCAAAGGGTTTAATGCTTTACTGTTTCTTGGCAAAGAAGAGAGACAATTCCTAGTGAGAAAATGAGAAGCTTGAGGGTCTTCACTGGTCATGGGCGTTCGGCGAAAACTTGTTAAACCGAAATCTGAACCGATTCAAAGAATAGTGTAAATTCAAAGAATTTTCGGTAACTTTCGATTGAGAAAAATAGTGTAAATTCAGACTCTGGATGCTTGTACAAGCAGATCTAATCCAGAAACTAATACCATGATGATATAAGACGCAGTTCTTCTTTTTTTGGTCCAATCAGGCAGTAGATATCACTCCACCTAATACAGTGCCTTGCTCAACAAGAAACACTATGAGTAAAACAGTAGATAAGAGAATTATGTACATAGGATTCTTCTCCTACACAATTACACAAACCAAACTATGAAAAAACTCAATTGCCTAATGTCTCGGGTTGGTTCAGCCAATCAAACTAAATTCCATGATGATATAAAACGCAGCTCTTCTTTTTTTGGTCCAATCATAAGGGCTATTTACAAAAACAGTAGACATCACTCCACCTAATACAGTGCCTTGCTCAACAAGAAACACTATGAGTAAACAGTAGATATGAGAATTAGGTAAATAAGTTGCTTCTCGTACACAAACCAAACTATTAAAAAAACTCAATTTCCTAAAGTCTCGGGTTGGTTCAGCCAATCAAGCTCACTCTTTGGGAGCTCTTTTACCTCCTGCACCTTTTCCAGAGTCACATTGATCCTCCACAACACAGACTTAGTTTCCTTGCTCATGCCTTTGATTGCATAGAGTCTCCAAACCAAACCCTTAACGAATCTGTAGTCATTAGTAGTGTAACAGTCATATTGTTTCTCCACAATGCTTTCCATATTTATGAAAGCTCTCCTCACTAGCTCAAGTTCCATTCCTCTTTCCACAATTTCTCTCACTGAATCTATCATCTTATATGCAATCTCCTTCAAGTATTGAGCGTGACTTGAGATCTCTATCAAGTGAATTGCTGCACAGAACGCACCCGCAAACGCTAAGACCCAACAATTGTTATCTTCCGACAAGTCTCTTGGTGGGTTTAGGTTTCTGTGAATCTCTGGAAGAAGATTATTAATGGCATGAATCACAAACTCTTTATCATCAAGCCGCATTGTTAAGCACTGGAAGATAAAAACCGTCTTCCTGAACACTGTTTTGCATTCTGTTGCAATGTAGTCCCATAGACCAAACCAGTTGTCCTCTTGGTAGCTAGACAACTCTTGTAAAACATGGAAGACCACCTGACCGAGAATCTTGATCGTGCTCTCGGGAACTCCTACTTCTTCAAGGCAAGAGATGAGCAACGGCTGGATTTCTCTAATCTCTGAAACACTTATTTCCTCTTTCCCAGCAGTGTGATCACAAAATAACTCATGGAGTCTCATGATTGCTATCTCCCTCGACCTATTATCAAGCTTACTTAATGAAACCTCTCTCATGATTTCCACTGGAGATAAAGCATCCAAAATGTCTTCCAAATCCCAGTGAGAATCTACTCCAAGATATTCATCCTCATCGTCAGAAGGGCTGCTGAGTTCGAAAGCTGGATTGTGCACATACTTGTCAAGTTTTGTAACCATTCGATAGATCTTCCAAGCAACTTCCTTAGCCTCTGTTCCGATCTCTGAAATCCTGAACGCAAACTCTGCCACAAACATGCATTGATCACTATTCCACTTAAACTGGTACGCGTCTTCCGCCAAGAAAATCTCAAGAGATTTAAGTCCTTTTAGCAGAAACTCTTCTTCAATTCCATGCCACACAATGTCATGAGCAGATTTCCAAACAATGTGAAGAATGTCTCTTGTCAAATCAAATCTCATCTCCGAATCCATAAGCAAAATCCCCATTTTAACAGCAGATTTTAAAGCCAAGATCCAATCTTCAACTCCATCTTCTTCAGGATGAAGCAAAACCTTGTAAACTTCATCAAGAAAACTCTGCAAAAATCGGTACACGAATTCTCCGTAAAGTGACGATGGCAATTGGATAAAGACATTAAAAGCCCTAATCGGATCATTGATAGCAAGTGAGAGTATACAATCACTCATCTCTTCCCAGACGCCAACTTTATCAGCTACTAAGGGCCTGACTGGTTTAAACGCAGCGGTTGCGGTTGCGGTTGCGGGAGTTTGCGGAAGCAGGCAGTTGCGGCTTCAAGCGTTATCAAGCGTTTTGAACGACTGGTTTAGCGTTTGAAAATGGGTACGTTTGCGGGAGTTTTATGACTGGTAAACCAGCGGGTCCGGTAGCAGTTAAATAAAAAAATGACCAAAATAAATAAAAAATATTACAAAAAAATAAATAAAAACACCAATATATTATTATGATAATATTAGAAAAATTGAACATGCTTAATAATGAAAACCATAAATAAAGAACTAAATAATTATTCAAAAATAAATAAATTCTGTAACAAGATAGTACTTTATGCATCTGGTTTAACATCAAGTAATGGGACAAATTGTAAATAACGTTGAATTCAATCAAAAAGCAAGTGAGTTTCTATTCGAGAAAACAAATCGAAACATATATTCAATCAAAAAGCAAAGCAATACGTAATGAAAAGAAAAAAAACGATGTCATGAAAAAATATTCAAAAAGTTATATATGAGGTGATGAATGAATAAAAGGATATATGATGCTTACGTTTGGTTATTGATTTTCATCAGTTTGGATGGAAGACATTGAGAGAAATAGAGTTTTAGAATATTATTAGGGTTTCTGATGAGAACGTGATACAAAGATAAAAAATTTATATATGATTAATATATATTATAATAATTATAAGTAAACGTTTGGATTTTTTAAAAAAAAAAAAAAAAAAAAAAAATCCAACCGCTACCGCCCGCAACCGCAAACGCTTGCGGGAAGGAGCTTTTGAAATTCAGCGATTTCGAACGGTTCGAAGCGGTACGGAGCGGTTTCTATGATTGGTATCAACCGCTAATAACCGCAACCGACCGCTAGTAACCGCTAGGAGGGTGCTAGCGGGAGAACCAATCAAGCCCTAAAGAAACGATGATTCTCACAATCTTTGAGTCAGACTTTTTAGCGTTTTCCATCGTCAAGCAAGAAATCAGAAGTGGTTTGATTTCATGAAGAGCAACGAGAGAGAGTTCGAATCGCTGAGCTTTGAGAGTTTCAGAAATAAGAAAGATCGATCGTAATCGGAAAACCTCGTCGGAAGAAAATCGATACACCATGAGCAGCTTTAGGGTTAAGCAATTTGGGAAACCAGAGACGCAGAAATTGAACAGAGCTCGAGCTGATTTGTATTCGTCGGATTCTTCAGGCATATAGAGTTGTTCGACGATCATCGCTAATTCTTCGTTGCTTGGTGTCGCAAGAATAGCCCTAGCTTTCAACGTAAGATTCGAAAATTTCGCCGTTGCAGTTTCTCCGGAATCGGATTCTTCCATTGCCATCGTCCTCGGAATCTTCTGGAAAATGGGTTTAAGGGTTGAAGATTTATGCGTGCGGTTATTATTCCGAGACTGATTAAATAACCGGACTTAACCGCAAATTAGATTAAATATATTCGGTTTGATTTTAATTCACTCCAAAATTTCCCAAATCTTATTGAACCGAACGTAAATCAAACCTGTACTTGGATTATTTGGGGAATTTGGAAACACAGGAATGAGCTTGTGTATGAGAATGTTCTGATTGATAAAGCTATGGAGGAGTCAGCTTTTTGGGATTCTCAATCTCAGCTCACAAAATCGTCCTCAACTGATTCCTTCTTTATTAGCTAATTAGGAATGGTCAAAACCGGTCGTAGATGTACTTAAGAGCAACGTACATTCTTTGGTTACTTTTTAATTTCAATGAATGATGACCAAAAAAAACAAAAGAGAAATTCTTGAAAATTATTACCTGAATCAATAGGTTTACTTGGTTTGAGAAAGTAGACAACAATCAGATGGCTGCGCTTCTTTTTTTTTTTTTTTTTTTTCCGTCAAACACCATTTTATTAAGTAATCGGACAGAGACTTTCTTTTAGAGAAAGCCAATCCGGAGCCGATGTGCTTACATGGGAACAAATAGGTCCACGGGTTTTTTTCTTAGCTAAATATAGAACCCGAACATTGTTACAAAGTAAAACATGACAAAAGCTAAAAGATAGAAATAAGGATCTAAAAATCTCAACGATAATGAGTCCCACCACGAAGGTAGGCCACTCGAGATAACAGTAGACAAATCGATGATAGGTTGCCAACCACCATGAGGTACATTGCCACACGAAAAGCTGAAATTTTCGTATAGTTTTAAGATTCCAAACTTGCGCATGAAGTGCCGAAACACCAGGTCCCTGAAAAGGGAGGTCGCATGTAAGACAAGAGAGATCTCCCGCGGTCCAAGAGTCAAAAGCATCACTTAAGAGGAAAACCGGATGCCACCATTCTTCGAGTATAGAGCCCGAGGTGATATGAGAGATTTGAAAACGTCAGCGGTTTGCTTAAGCCAAAAAGTGGTTGTAGATGGAGAAGGAAGATGGCGAAAGAATAGGCGTTGAGAGGTGGTGAGAGGGAAGTGAGAATTGAGATTTAAGTCCAAGACGGGATCCACCTCAGTGGAGGTTAAGCTTTTTGAGAAGTTCTCCATCAAATAATGGGTAGGTGATAGACAGCCCCGGCTCAAAAAAAATATGAGCCTTAGGGCAAAAAAAATTTTTGGCCTATTATTGTTAAAAAAAAAAGATTTGTGGTTTTTTTATTATAAAAAGGTGATATTATTAAAAATTTTGGGCCTTTTCATATATATATTTTTTCAAAATTTAGGCTTTTTGAGGTATAATTCTTGGATTATTAACAATTTTAAAAAATATTTGGGCCTTTTTATATGAAAATTATTTCAAAAAAAAAAAAAAGCCTTAGGCCATTGCACCCCTTGCCCACCCTTGTGAGCCGGGGCTGGTGATAGAGATACAGTCGATCTCTCCAAAGATGAGGAAGATGTACACAAAAGTCTCTCCACAAGGGAGGAATTTGGAGAGCAATATAAATTTAAATTGGAAACACTTAGAAAGGATGTGGTAGAGGAGCGGAGAAGATTGATCTTTTGAAATCCCGTATCATTCGTTAAACTTGGAACGAGAAGAACAAATCTAGTCGCGATGGCTAACTCCATATTCAAGATTAAATTCAAAAACATCAAGACTGACTTGTTGTCACTAATAACTCGTACGGCAAAAACCATTGCAATCCTGGCAAAGCTTCCAAAAAACCACTCCAAAAAGGAGGAAAATGGGAAAAACATACTCTTTAAACAAGAGAATAGTGAAAGGGATCTCTCCACATAGGAGGAAGTATTAGTACTATGTCTCTCATTAAATGAGGAAAATAAAACTATTGAATATGAACACATGGATTTTGTTCCTTTAGAGATTATTAGGCCAGCAAAACCCCATAATTTAGAATAGGTAGGCAATGAGCCGACGACATAATTGTTTGGGCCAACATGAGCCCATAATACATATTTGCAGAGACAATTCCAATTTGCTTTCACTCTTCGGATGGGCCAAAGTAATTTCAAGCCCACAAAGTGAAATGGGGCAGGAAGGATCCAAATTAAAACAATGATGGGCCAGGCCCAACTCGAGTTCCCTCTTTGCAGCCCAAAGAGAGGGGTTTGACCTAGAATAATTTTCCGAGAAGCGCAGCCGTCACTGCCGGAATCAATATGTCCTCCGGTCAAAGAAACTACCGGGAAAGGAAGCAAAGCTCGATACAATCTCGGAATCACCGGAATGGATCTTCGCTCACAGCCGAGAAACTCTCTTGGCCACGCATGACCAAGGAAATCAAAAGGTTGCAGGGACAAATCTTTAACGTGATAAGACATATCCTCGACGCGACGGTGGAAAACGAAGACTTCCTTGGAAAGCTCTCCGGGACTTTAAAAGATAGTTGGAGAATGAGTTCTGGAAGGATAAAACAAAAAGAAGCGTCGGAGGTGAAACCCGAGATAGATCGCGACAAGTAGTCCATGGGTAGATGGCGGAAGCAGAGATTGGCGAGAAAGACATGTCGGATCTGTAGAGTGGCTACGGATAAGGGAGAGCGGTGGAAAATAACAGAGTGAATGGAATAGAGTCTTCGGTTTAAAACCGAGAAAATGTCTGGATTTGCAGGTAACAAGGAGAAAACATCGGCTACAAAAAGCTGTACCCGCTGCGGGGGATACGAGTCACCGGTCACCGGCTTCGAAACTTTTCTCCGCAAAGTAAAACTGGAGAAGGGAGCTGCCGGGAAAGACGATTCCAAAAGAACCACATTATCAAAATTAGCAGCAGAGGAGGCGAGAATAGAAGGGACGGTCCGACGCCGGCAAGCAAAAGCTTTACCGGCGTCGGAGATCTGAAAAATTGTGGTTGTCTCGATATTCGTGTCTAAGAGAGTTTTTCAAATCTCAACTCATCTCTCTTATAATTGTTAGCTGCGCTTCTATTTCTTAGCTCTTATATATATTTAGTCAAATTTACTTCCAACTTAGCTTTGGTTAAATTTGAGTTTGTGTTTTTTAGGTTTACTTTCTTTCCACATGATTTATGGAATCAAGATTAACAAGAAACATCATTCATTGTCTCAACATGAAGAAAAAGATAAACAAAGGATTCATTGTCTCAACAAGAAACATCATTCATTGTCTCAACATGAAGAAAAAAATAAACGAGATGTTTTGTTTTTTTTACCTCAATGCTCTACTGGAAGAGGTAGTGGACAATGAAAGTATCTGGATACCATTCGTGACGCCTGTATGTGCGGCGCCTAAAGTAAGTACCGTCTACCATTCGAACCTCCGCAAAGCTGTAACGGAAGAAATCCAAGCCTTCTACCTGTCCATTAGAAACACAACGATAAATGTTAGTTTCATATATGTGCCATAACAGGTTATTCTTAGTTCAGCGTGAGGTGAACACCTCAACGTAACTCGCACATATCCTCATACCGCCTAGAGGCCCTGGTAGTAAATCCCAATCATTGTAATATGTGAACGGGTGCATCGGGACAACGTATAGGCCCTCAGCCAAGAGCGGAATGTTTTCTGCGCTGGAAACGATGAAGACCCTAAACATTGGTTAAGTATTAGGCGGAACCTATCTCTACCAGTTCATGTTAAAAGATGAAGATTTGAAAAAGTATATTTTTTGCAGAAATATAAGACGGAAAAATGGAGTTCAATTAGATTTGCAACGGTGAAATCTGTAGAAGAACTTCGATGGTGGAATCTCAAAGCCTAGCGGCGGAACTGAGTCTAATCGTAGATCTTGACCGAAACTTAGTCTAATCGTGGATCTTGATAGGCATTGACTGTGTCACCCATCTCCTTCTTGTGTGTAAACATATCTCAACACGTGGCACATTTCTCTTTAATCTTATCATGATAGTTAAGGTTATGTAGTGTTTAATTTTAATCAAGATTATAAATGAAGGAGATTAAGCTTCCGTTTTTTTTTCACTTATAATCTCCAATGGTTTTTTTATTAATAAATTTATTGGCCTACAAAAGAAAAAAAGGCCTAACTATCATGACATTTGTTTGATACACATTTATCAAGTGACATAGGTAAAAGTCATTTTTGACATATTATACCGTAGATGGACAAACTAATTAATGTTGAAGAAAGAGGTTTTTGAATATTGAAATTAATTAAACTGTAGCTAGAGGTTTTTGAGTTTTGAAATTAATTAAACTTTAGCTAGATATGTATATATGAGTTGAGTTTTGATATTAGTTAAATGGTAAAATAGCTTTTAATTGCAATTTAATTATTATGGTGACTCATACAACAACATTTAATAAAGAAATCTATATCATTCTTAGGCTCCGAATGGTGACAACGGATCGTACAATGTCGGATAAGCGGATTGAGTAGTGGTACATTTTAAGTACGGTTTATTAGGTAAAATATAGCAATGCCGATGTTTTTAGACGAACCCCACCCTTTTCTCCTCCAACGAAAATCAACCATCTGGTAGATTTGAAAAAAATGTTCAAACAAAATCCTCAATTTTCTTGAAAATGTAATTTATTTTCAGTACGATTCAGATCTAGTTTCTGTTTTCAAGATATAGTCAAAACAAAATCTTTTATAGCGGTGCTAAAACTAATTTCATTTTTGAAATCAAGTTTTTAATTAGTTAACTTTAGATTATTTAACTTAATTTGAATTAAAATTTTATAATAAAAATCTTTTCAGTTAAACAAATTTATAACTAATTTCAGTTTCTCAATCCCTCAACAGTTCTAATTCATAAGCTAAAAATTAATATTGTAGTTAGTTTTGGAATTATATGATTTCTTAACATTAAAACAAAAACAAAAAGGATTTAATTATGATTATTATATCTATAAATTTAGCAATTTTGTAGTACTTGAAGGAAAATAAGATATTAATTTTTCTTTTGAGGAAAATATTAACTTTTCAAATTGAATTCCTTTCTTTTTTATATATAGGTTTTGTACATTGTTTCTGTTGCCGTCGGTAGGCCTGGGCATGTGGGTATTCGGGTCGGGTTCGGATCGGGTCTTTCGGGTTCGGGTTTTTCGGGTTTAGAAATTTTGGACCCGTTGGGTTATATGTATAATTTCGGGTCGGGTTCGGTTCTGGTTCACTTCGGGTCCGGGTAATTTGGGTATTGGTTAAAGAACCCATAAATAACCAAAACTATTTCGGGTTTGAGTACTACTTACCCAAACTTTGTCCAAATATACCCAAACATACATAAAAGTACCCATAAAACCCGAAAGATCTGAAATTTTAACAAGTTGTTCTTTAAGACAATAATATAAAACAAGAAGTAAACCTTGTTTTGAGTTTGTTCCATAACTTAAATCATTAACTTTTACCAAAAAAAAAAAAAAAAAAAAACTTAAATCATTAAACAAGTCACAAATTCAAGTTATGTCCTCATATGCATATATGTCCTCATATGTGTATATATGTTCGGGTAATAAAAAGTACTCACGGGTATCGGGTTCGGTTCGGGTAATATCCGATACCCACAATTATTTGAAAACAGAACCCGATCGGATAATTAGCCGGAACCGAAGTAGAACGGGTTCGGGTATTTCGGGTCGGGTTCGGTTCAGTTCTTCGGGTTCGGGACAGCCCGTCGGTATTTACTGTCTTATTTCTCCACTCACCATGGCCGAAGCCGCCGAACCAATGACTGGTAACCTATTTTTCAATCTCCTCCGGGATTTTACATGGCCACAGAAATAGAATAATTAAATATTACTTTTTGGGGCAATTGTCATTTGTCATTGCAGATAACGTAGAAATGCCTCTCTTCTGTTACATAAACACGTGCCTTGTCAGTAGTATTTCTAAGCTGAGAAGTATAATACAGCATATTGACTTCCGTTTAGGACAATTACATGTTACGGACCCCAGATTCCCTAGATATCGTGTTTCAGTGAAGAGAGTGGTCTGTAGAGATTTTATGCCGTTCGATAAACATGTTAAAAACATCCTTAGAAACGTCCTAGGGTTTCAGGTATATGATGCAGTTGAGAGCCCAATGTATTGCTAGGATCATAGGCAGCCCAAGCCCATCTACCATGTGCCCGACTTTCTCTTAGAGGTACATCCGCTGAAATACATATTGGAGAACCGGAGAACTCGGTTCAGGAATATAATGGTCATTTCGAGTGACTATGACTTTTTCTATACAACGAAAAATTTAATGAATGGAGATTATCGCGTCTTTTTAGCTAGATTCGAAACTTCAGATCCAGAATTTGATGACTACGTAGACTAAGCATGGAACTGGCAATCTCTAGAAGACGAACGAGGTGGTCTGCTCCCGTTTGACCCTCCAACGCTTGATATTATTTCTTATTTTAGGTATTCTTTTTTTTTTAAACAATGCCAACACTGTAGTTAGTTTTGGAATTAGTATTTTTTTTGTTCGGTTTGTTTTGTATCGATTCACTTAATTCGAATTAAACTTTTATAGTAAAATTCTATTCAATTGAAAATAAATAAAAAATTCTATAATATTTCATATTTTCTAACCGAGAGGCAAAAGACTTAAATTACGATATATGACACTTGACCCGGCCTGTTTTAGATCGATATATACAAGATTCAGTCTTATTTTGATTATTATTTTAAAAATTCAAATATGTATTTATTTGTAATGCAAATGTAAATTCTAATCCAATTTTTTTCTTTTCTAGTTTGATTCGTATCAAACTTCCGTTATCAGAATATACATAAAAAAAGTAAACATATACTAAGGGGGGTGTATTGGAACAATGATTTTGGAAAATTTTGGTTTTTTGTTAAAATCACCTGTTATTCAATCAGTGATTTAAAATTTTCTTCTCAAATTCCATGTTATTGAAACCGGAATTTATGTAAAATCATTCCAAATCATTTCAAATCTCATGTTATTCAATCATGAATTTCTAAAAACCATATCAAATCCACTGTTATTCAAACTTAACAAAACTTTTTTTAAAAAATATTGAAACTGATTTGGTGAGACTTTGTATACCTTTTAGTGTAAAAATAAGAATTAAACAATCACACCTCTAGGGGTGGTATTTGATTAAAAAAAAAAAGTAAAAAAAAACATGTGGCTAACGAAACTAAACTAGTGGAACAATCTCCTCTCTTCATCCTCGTCTTCATCTCCCTCGATCTCGATCCCTTGAACAAAAATAACATAAGAGATCCTAAAATCAAAGTCCCCATAAATATGTACAAGGACTAAAGTCAAAAGAGAGTCTCTTCTTTGGTAGTGGTGGTGACTCACTTCTCGTCCTCACAAGTCTCGAACAGCTTCAATCTAATTCTCAAGGAGCACAAACGGAGATTTAAATTGATGAATAAAACTATTCGACGATTAGAAGTCAAATTGTTGCGAGGTCGGTTTTGATCTTCAGTTCTGATGTTTGTTTCTTCGCTAATAACATAATAGAACTTTATTTGCGAAATTGATAAATTTCAGATAGAATTTTGAGTTAGTTTATGTGTCGTCAAGCATGGAGGTGAATCTCGTTTTGCTTCTGTGTATAGCTTTGATTTGTCGCTGATAACACTAGATTTTTGAAACTAGGTTGATGGAGTGACATAAGTTTTTGTTTTGAGCTTGATCACGAATTCCACCACCGTCAAACGTGTTTTCGAAATTCAAACGGCATGTTTAAGAAGTTACCACAAACCAGAGAAAATTATCAAGGCAAGTTTTGTTATAGCTTGGCTAGTTGCACATGTTACTTGTTGATGGTGATTCCAATTAATTTTAAGCCTTTGAATGGTTCATTGATATTGATTATACCGTCTGCAATTTTTTAGGAAATCCCAATTTTTCTATTTTTTGTGCTAAAAATCTCACCAAATCACCTATATATTATCTCTTTAAAAGCTCACAAAATCACAAATTATCTTTCCTTTTTAAAAATGAAAATAACAATTCCACCAAAAATATCTTATAAACTCACTTAAATCTCTGCAAATCCAAAATTTTCTAAATTCCACCAAATTCTCCTAAATCTTTAATCGAATACACCCCCCTAACTGTGTTAAAATGAGTTTACTTTCGAATCTAGGTTTTTAATTCGGTTTGTTTTGAATCGATTTACTTAATCCGTGTTAAATTTTCATAGTAAAATCTTTCTCTCATGAGAAAATTTTGTAATCCGTCGAATTGAGAAGATCTAGAAATTAAAGTTACGTTTATAGAATTTTTTACGGTCTATGTTAAACCCAATATACAAGAATTTCATTTCATTTACTATCTTTTTCAATTTTAAATATGTTCTTATTTTAATGAAACGAACATTTCTAATCGAAATATTTTTCTCATTTTGTTTGATTCGAATCTAGTTTCCGTTTCTTCGGATATAGAAAAAGATAAAACCTTATCACAAGATCGACTTCATTTCTCGAATCAAAAATTTGATTCGGATTATATTAGATCATTTGGGTTTGTTTTAGATCAATTCACATACTTCGAATTAACCTTCTCCATAAAATCACCATATCATATATTAGAGAAGAAAGAAGCAATGCAAGTAGATTCACACAATACAAGTGTGGCTATAGTACACTTTGCTGAGGTCATAGAGAGTCTTATCACAAAGTTGTTGGTCAATTCTGTAAAATAGTAAATAATAAGAGGGTCATATTAAAAAACTCCAAAGATAAATATAAAAGTTTAAGCCGCAGCAGAAAAATCTGAAACGCAACTGGTGTGAGTGATTCTAGCGTTTTCTCTCGTCGCATCTTCTTTCTTCACCTTTGACCCTAAAACTCTGCAAATCTGCTTCACAGTTTCTCGAGTTTTCAGGTCTTCTCTTGTTGCTCTTCGCTTCGCATTTGATATGATTCCTGATTGATTGATGTACTGATTACAGATTTCGACATTGTCTTTAGGTTTAATCGATTTTGATGTTGTTGCTAATCCCGTAGGAATCAGGTGCGTTTCGAATCGAATTTTTTCAGAGGTTTTAAGTTTGTGAGATTTCTAGGGTTTTTAGATGAATCTAGGTTTCGATTTCGCTATTTACGCTTGGATTTTGATGGGTTTTTCGAATTTTGGGTGAAAAAAATCTGAACCACATTCATTGTAGCCATTTTTAAGCTTTGTTTTTCTATGCTTCTGAGAATTATGAAGATTTTTGATAGCTTCATAGAGATAATTTCTTAGTGACGCATGATTGAGAGCTGTTTCTAGGTCTCTAATGTAGATTTCTCTTTTTGCTGTTTACTCGGTAGCTTGAAAGCTTTTTGGGAAGTTCTATGTTTGAGTTTCATAACACCAACAGCTTCTTAGTGTAGGGAATGTTGTGTTAACATTTAGCTATTCTCTGTTCGTTTTTGTTTATCTCCTCAAGCTGCTGAATCCAGTAAGTTTGACAAAGTTTCCTTGAGTTCTTAGCTTGTTATATAGTTTCACCTCTGGTTTGTGGATTTCCAATTGGAGTTAATGGGTTTTTTGTTCTTGTAGCATAGGCTTGAGCTTGGTGTCTCTGGTTTGCATGTTAATTTCTATGTGTTGGTGGAAATCACTATTTGCACGGATTTTTGGTAGCTAGGCTGCATGTGTGTAGAAGATGATTGCAGAATAACCATTGACATTTGTGATGCGTTTATCTGAATCTCACATATGTTAACACCTCCGTATCTACCCTTTTTTTGTTTTAGCCATAAAAGTAGCCATCCTTGAAGCAAAACATAGCCCAGAAGTTGGGGAATTGCTCAAATCTCGGAGAACTTCTTCGGCATTGAGACTTTGGTCATTAGAAAAATTGAATGATACGGATACACGACAGGCATGGAGTGCAACAAAGACGAGGCGGCAAGGGCGAAAGAAATTGCAGAGAACAAGTTCAAAATGAAAGACATTGCTGGGGCCAAGAAATTTGCCTTGAAAGCTCAAAATCTGTATCCAGAGATAGAAGGTGTTTCTCAGATGTTAGCAACCTTGGATGTGTATATTGCTGCAGAAAACAAAGTAAACGAGGATGTAGACTGGTATGGAATACTCAATGCAAGTCCGCGCGATGATGATGAAACGTTGAAGAGAAAGTACAGGAAGCTTGCTCTAATGCTCCACCCCGATAAAAACAAGTCTATAGGAGCTGAAGGAGCATTCAAACATGTTTCTGAAGCTTGGAAATTCTTGTCAGATAAGGAAAAGAGAGCAGCTTATGATCGTAGGAAAAGTTTGCACTCAGTTTATCAGAAGGTCACAGTTTCGTCTTCTAATAACGGTTTCTGCAATTTCGCCAAGACTACTTTCACCACAAATGCGAGGACGATGACCCAGAGGAACAATCAGCCAGCCCAGAAGAACAATCCGCCGGCCCAGAAGAACAATCCGCCGACCCAGAAGAACAATCTGCAAAAGCCAGTTGGTAATACACAGAAAACTGGACAGACGGAACATCAAACAACAAGACCAAGTTCATTTGCTGCATCTGCATCATCAGACCAATCAAAGTCGAGTACTTTCTGGACAGTCTGCAGGAGATGCATGATGCAGTACGAGTATCTAGGATTTTATGTCAACTGTAACCTTCGGTGTCCTAATTGTCTACAGTCGTATTTGGCAGTAGAAGTCCCTAAACCAGGTATATCAAGCCGTTGGAGTAGCTTCAGCCGTCTAAAGCAAAACCTGGATCCGAAGTCAGCTGCAAACCACAACACTACTTCAGGTTTATTTAATAACTCCAAGTGGACATTCTCAAGAACCAGCAGTGCAGCTCATGCTGCTAGTGTGGTTCAACAGGCTTATGAGAAGGTCAAGAAAGAACGCGAGCAGGCGAAAGCAACCGCGAGAAGAGAAAAGAAGAACGCCAAAAGGAAGAGCACAACTGATTCGTCTGCTTCTGGTAGTTCGCTTAAAAAAAGGAAAGTTCGTGGAGAAAATGATGTCGGTTGCTCTGGTGGAAGAAAGGTCACTTACTGTGTGACTGGTGAAACCGGAAAAAACATGAGAAAGTTAGAACATGAAACCAAAGAGAGATCGGACAAGTTCTCTCCTCGAAGAACCCAGAGAAATGTTAGCAAGGAGGATGTAAAGTCGCGTTAGCATTCTGACTTGGTTGAGTGAGGTTTGAGTTATGCAGGCATAATTGTGATTGATGGATTCTCCAGGCTATAACCAGTCACTAGGATATATTTTGTAAGTTGGGTCATTCGGTAATATTTGGGTTCTAACATTAATAGAGAAGACGAGTCTTTTTGGGCAGAGGACACAAACCGATTTCCAAAATTTTAAAACAGACTCAGTGTTATGTCAATTGGTGTGTTGTAGCAACAATGACTTGGTTCCATGACACTTTAAGTAAATGCTCTGTTTCAGTGCTCTAATAGATTTGCTTCACTTTCAACTAAGATGCAACTTGTTCTGCATCTAGTTAACCTTCATGCTCCCGATATTAGACGAGGGCTTTCTGAAATACATAATAGCATCTGTGCCCTCTGTGACCTCCACAAAGGACAAGAAAGTCGGTCTCACGGATCGAATGCTCAAGTTTCTCTGAACTCATTCCACCAGCTGAAGAAAGAGACGAGCATACTACCCGAGGTTTAGCGAATGCTCAAGTCTACAACCAGTTGAAGAAAGAGACGAGCATACTACCCGAGGTTTAGCGAATGCTCAAGTCTACAACCAGTTTTTCTATTCGTTTTAATCAACTGTCGCACAAAACTTGTCCTTTTAAAAACAATCAAAACGATGAATATTGAATTCTGTCATCAGTATACATCGGTACAGAGTACGATTAGAGAGGTTCTACTGCATTTTTTGTGAAGAGTAGATATGAAAAAATAGAAACTTCAAAGATTGTTTTTGCAATTTTGGTCTTTCGTCGGATTCTTGTTGAGATCAATTACTACACGAAAAAGTATGAAATTTAAATATTTTAATATTTGGGTAAAATGTAAAAATAAGTGAAAATATGAGGGTATATTTGAAAGTTTCCCAAATTAAATACGAAAGCAGCTGCTATCTAAAAATTCTGATACGAACGAGATCGCCGTTTCTAGGGCTCTTTGGTTTCCCTCTACCTCTCGAGCTTGAATCCTGTAATCGCCATCACAGTTCGCAAAATTTTCAGGTTTCTCTCTTTCACTCCTTACGATTTTTATAATCCTCTCGATAATTAAGTTCGATTGCTTATAGGAATTGTTTTTAAACCGGCTGATACACAGATTCGACTTTGTTTCTAGTTTGATCGATTTGATTTTGCCAGTTCCTTAAGAGATTGATACCGAATTTCACTTTTCCTTATCTGGGATTGACGAAATTTAGTTCCTTTACGGTTTAATTTTGAGATTGATGCCATAGATATTACTTCGCGATTTCTAGGGTTTCGTATGAAATCGAGGATGTTTATTCTGTGATTAATAGTTGTTTTAGTTGGGTTTCCAGGATTAGTTATGGTTTCTGTATATATGGGCACAAAGGTTCAAGCTTTAGCTCCTAATGTGTTGAGTTTCTGTTTCAGGTTTTTGGGTTCGTAGGCTTTTTTCAGTATCTCTCTCAGTATAAAACATGGCGGAGATACAGACGAATGGGAGGGCGTATGAGTCATTATTGGAAAAGGTTCTTTCAATGAACATTCTTTCTTCTGACTATTTCAAAGAGCTCTATGGTTTAAAGACTTATCATGAGGTTATTGATGAAATCTACAACCAAGTTAATCATGTGGAGCCGTGGATGGGTGGAAACTGCCGTGGTCCTTCAACAGCGTATTGTCTTCTCTACAAATTCTTTACCATGAAACTTACAGTGAAGCAGATGCATGGGTTGTTGAAGCACACAGATTCTCCTTATATTAGAGCGGTGAGTGAATCTCTTAACGATCTTTTTGCATTATTGATCTAGAAGAGCATATGTAGGATGGAATTATATGGATACCTTATAAAGTATGATATACGGTGATGCTATACCCTTGTCTTTTTGGTTTTCGTTGTAGAATCTAGAAATATGTCTTTCCATCTTCTGGCTTCTTCTTGATTTTCAGTAACATTTAGAAATCTAACATTGTGTGCTGCTTGTTCCAATACATGTTCCTTGTTACCAGCTGAGTTGTTTCTTATTAGTCAATTTTAACCCGGAAAAGGTAGGTGTTTCCTTTGTTTGACAAATAATTATAGAGCCTCTTACAGTCAGGTAATAGCATTCCTTACCTCTGGGTTCCATCTAAAACTATTCCTTTCTCATCCCGTATTGAAGGGATGAGCGTGCACATAATTGTTCTCCTGTTTTCATAGCAGATTTTCACAACCACAAACAAAGTTGGGATGTCATTCTTTCTTTGAGTTGCTGAGAGTTTCTCCCACCAAAATATATAAGACCTTTCTTTGCTAGGAGTATCCGCATATCAAGGTTTGAGGTGTCTTTTCTATTTTAGCTACTATATCTCTCTAGGATCACCTCTCTGCCCATTTACCAGTATAGAACGTAGCTATTGACAAATAATATGTATGATACTTTGCTCTTGGTTGGGCACCGGTGTTCCAGTTAAAGTTCTAGGATATATGTGAAGATTTTCTTTTGAATGAGATAGCATTTACATGCTTCCTTGGTTTATGTGAAGTTATGCTAGTCTTGCATTTTATATCAGTGTTTCTCTTGCTACTTTGTTTTGCTTTGCGTTTTTTCTTCTTATAACAACTTGTCTGATCTTTTTTACTTGTCCATTGCTTTTGATCTGACCACAGGGATCTAAATGTGCAGGTTGGATTCCTATATTTAAGATATGTTGCAGATGCAAAGACGTTGTGGACATGGTATGAACCTTACATTAAAGATGATGAGGTAAGCAGTTTTAATCATGTTCTGGGAGTACCATACACTTATGGATAATATTCTGGTATGCAATTACCTATTTGTGCATCTGGGTTCATTAAAGTTGCTATGTTTGTTTAGAATTGTGCATATCTTTTGTTCCTTAAAATGTTTATTTTTAATGGAGAAGCTCTTGTTAGTATTCTTAATTTCTTACTGAGATAATCACACAATAAAGTTTGGAACAATAGAATAGAGTGAGTCGCTGACCGCAATGGCTACAATTATACTGGATCTTATCTTTTAGGCTCTTTGGGTGTACTACTGTCTTGGATATATGTTATCATAAATTCATAGTACACACTGCTTTGAACATGGCTCTGCACTGGTATACAGCTTAACGTGAATATTTATGTATTTTGCCTTCAGGAGTTTTCACCTGGATCAAATGGACGGATGACGACAATGGGTGTTTATGTACGTGATCTGCTGCTTGGACTGGTGAGTCAAAAGTTGTTATATTACATGGTCAAATTTTCCTGTTTTCTGTGTAATTATTATTCTCCCATGGAAAACTTGGATGGGCAGACTTGGATGCATCTGGGTCTAAAAATATATTTTACGATACTGGCAATTTGAAAGTGATAGTAAGACAAGAACTTTGATTTGTCGGTAAGATGATGTGTGGTGATTTATAAATCGTGGACTTTATTGGCCTGTGTTGTTATTTGTTGACAGGAAAGTACAAACACTCTTGTAATGGCATAGTTGCTCGTTTAAAATTGTGCCTAGTTACCATTTGATAATAGTCTTTGATAGGTGTTGTAGTGTGAACATGTCATTAGATTGGTATACTGCTACCTTTACCGCTAAGCTGATTGTAAGCTATGTTTTTGAAGAGCGTTTGGTGATTATCTGCTAGAAGAATTTACTTCATTTTCGCATTTAAGCGAAGTGGTAGATTTAAATAAACATGCACTAGCATTTGACCGTAAAGGTGTTTAATAGTCATTTATCTATGCACAGTTTTAAGCAATATGATACTTTAACGTCTCCATGATGCCAATTCCTGAATCTGACGTTGTTATTTTTATTTGCAGTACTACTTTGATACTCTGTTTCCTCGTATACCTGTTCCCGTGATGCGCCAGATTGTATCAAACCTTGAGAAGATGAATTTACCAACTAAACCTTCTGGATCAACCGGAGACATGACCCGTGGCTCAGAAGACACTGCCCGTCGTCCACCATCAGTAAAAGCATCCCTCTCTGTATCATTTGGTCAGCGTGCACCTCATCGTGCTTCCACCAGAGGCTCCTCTCCGGTTCGCCGTCCTCCACCGTCTGGTTATGACAGAAATGGAGGCGATGAAGTAAAACAGAGGTCCCCACGTAGAAGCCAGAGCCGAGACTATTATTCCGACAGAGACTCAGATAGACAGCGGGAGAGAGAGAGGGAGAAAGACCGTGAAAGGGACAGAGACAGAGACAGGGAGAGGGAGAGAGATAGATACAGAGAAAGAGAAAGGGATTATGGTAATGATAGGAGATCAAGGCGTGACTATGATAGTAGAAGCAGACGCAATGATTATGAGGACGATAGAAGCAGACATGACCGGAGAAGCAGGAGCAGAAGCAGAAGTAGGAGCAGGAGTGTGCAGATTGAGCGTGAACCAACTCCTAGCAACAAGGAGAAATCTGCTGTGACTGTGAACAGCAATCTCGCAAAGCTAAAAGATTTGTATGGAGACGCGAGTAGTCAGAAAAGGGATGAAGGATTTGGAACAAGGAGAGATTCAAGTTCAGAAGAAGTGATAAAGCTTGGTGGTTCTTCTTGGAGGTGAAAAAACAAAAACTGTGGATTTAAAATGCTTCTTCTATTTAGTAGGATGATGCATGTTGTTTAACTATACTGTTTTGATTTCAAGCAAACTATTTGTTATATGCTTTGATATTACAGTTTTAGAATTGATCTTTATCTTGAATTTGTTTACACTATGTGTTGGGTTTTAACTTTCTTACATATTTTGTGTGTTTCTCAGTCCACATTTAGAGTCAGCTAAAACCATCATCTGTTGGAGGTATTAATGAATATAATTTATATTATATAAATTATTTAACTCTTCCCATGGATTTGGGTTGAGACTGGTCGAAGATGGTCGTAAGTCAGTATAAAAAAAGTGGTACAATTACATGGTTTAGGCCTGTGACTATTAGATTTCCAAACCGAACCGGTTTTTGTACATCTTGGTTTGGATTCGGTTATCGGTTTGAACCGATCGGCAAGTTGGTAAATAGAGATTGGTTACTCGAGATTTTTGGTTCGGTTTAGATGAAACCGAACGGTTAGCCGAAGAAAAGCCATTCCTAACACAACTAGCCGCCGTCAACGTAAAAGCTTTCTGGTTTTACTGAAGAAGAATGAAACGTATCGTTCCATTGTATTGTTACTGGGCTTGACCCAACGTTTCTGGCCTTGGCCCAACGTTTTCCTTTTTCTTTTGAAGCAGTCTTTAACTAAAACAGAAAATGTTTGGGCCCATGAGCCCAGTAACTTAAGAAAATCAAACCAAATTAAACCGATTTGAACCGAAATTTAATCAAAAAAAACAAAAGTTTCCGTCAGTTTCGGTGAAAATATAAATAAACTCTGGAACCGGAAAGAATCGTAACCGAATAGAACCGAACCGATAACCGATTCACGATTGGGTAACATATCATGAAACACAAAATTCTGGAAATGATATTATTTATTATTAATCTTCCCCAAAAATTCGCAAAATGAAAAATCGAAGACCAGACAAATGGCGTAAGTACATTTTACACAGAGAGAGACAAACAAAACACAGATATGGAAGCAATGAAAAAGACAAAGCTTTAGCGAAACGATGATGCATCAAGAAACAGCTTCGACTCCTACATTCATCTTCTAAAAGATCTTTCGATTGTTCACGAATATTATCTGATTTTGTCATAACACATAAAGAAATTGAGAGACTCACAAACTCTGATTTTGATTAGCACCAATTTCTAGGGTTTAGAGATTCTGTGATTAATTCTGCTTGCTGGGTTTTCTAGGAATAACTGAAAGATGGCTTCTTCTTCTTCTTCTCTTAGTCTCCTTCAACCTCTCCACAGTCTCTCTTCTTCCACTCTCTTCTTTTCTCAGCCAAGTTTTCATTTTTCATCCTCCCTTAAACCTCACAAGTCCAAAAGGCTCAATCTTTCGAAATCCTTGACTCTCCGTTTTGCTCTTACGGAATCAGATTCTACTAAACCTCTAGAAACAGAACCAACTTCTAAATCCCTTCTCCTACAACTCTCTGTAAGTGCAAACTCTGTTTTTGATTAAGGTTTAGCAATTCAAATTGAGTTCTTGTGCTTAATGGGTTTTGAATTGTGTGTGTTGCAGAAGTGTTTTGATCTTCCATCAGATTACTTCCAGCAGCTACCAAATGATCTTCGTCTCGATGTAAGTAAGCCATCATTGTTTAAAAACTTGATTTTTTTTCGATTATGGGAAATTTTTTTTTATGTGGTGAGTTTTGGTTTTCATTAGTTGAATGATGCTGCTTTTGATCTCTCCAATGGACCCGTCATCGATGAGGTTAGTTCCATAACTGCTAAGTAATCACTCTCATTTACCACCACATGAACACCATAATCACAAGTTTTGTGAACTTAAATTCATTGTTCGAGGCTATTATTGTTTTAGTACTGAGTTCAAGAACAGCTATTTCATCTGTGGGATCTTTTATGTGACATTCATGTGTATGATCTTCCTTCATTGTAGCTTCAACCTTACCGTAAACCACTATCATCTGCAATGCAATTCTACATTCCTACATTTGTGCCAGCAAAAAACCTTAGGAAATGTGTTGAAAAGGGCCTTTCATGCATGCTGTTAAAAAGTAGTTATGTGCTTAATAGCATTCTATGCTATTATGTGTATATACCTGTGTGTAGCCCGGCATTTATCCTTTATCTAAGGTATAGTATAGTATTCTCATTATGCTTTACGGTATCGAAGTGGCTGTAATATATTATTATGTCTAAATGATCTCAAATTTCAAGTTTCTGAATGAGCTAATTTTCTGTTTGGAATTAGCTACTTGTGATTATTTTCATCCCTATTGTTGCATAAGCTGTTTCTTTTCCTTATTCATCTTTGGTAATAATAAGATTTATGTTAGGAATGTCTTCATGTATGTGTTTACGCTTTACTGGATTTACTAGCAACTAATATAATAGATATTTGCAAAAGAAATAGTAGATGCTCCATTATTTTGATATCTGAGCTAAATACATAATTTTGTATTACTTTAGCCTCTAGGACCCTAATCATAACACTGACCTTCACTTTTAGGCAGTTATATGTAACGTGTGAGTAGTGAAACATACAGCTCATACAATTATTTTTATATCTGCAGACAGACACCTTCCTGTAATCTTGTTTCACAGTTATATGATAGGGTCATTTACATTCAAACATTATGAAATCTTTCAAATAGTCTAAGCTTCATTGTTCTAGTCCAGCAACGGTCATTTTCTGTTTCTCAGAACTTGATTTGTGTTCTTTGCCGTTGGCGTTATGCCCTGGATTTGGTTAGAGAGGAAGAGAGGATCTTGAATCTTTGTAGTGTTTCATACAAGCTAACCTCCTTGCCTTACTTTCTTAAACTTTGAGGGACTTATAAGTGCAATCTCTCAAATCTATTTGTAGTGTGGTCAAGAGCTTGGGGAGATCTTACTGAATCTTTCCCGTGCTTGGGAACAAGCTGACGCATCAACTTCTCGTAGTTTAGTGGAGAAACTTCCCGAACTGGAAAGTTCATTAACAGATGGTGCCAAATCAGGTAATAAGAAGTAACCACTATAGTATCTAGCTACACATCTTTCTAGATTTACTCTCTAGTAATCATACTCGTTTTACCTTTTTTTGTTCAGCCTTTGGGAAGCGTTTGATATCTGCAGGAAAAAGGTTCCAGGGCATGGGACAATATGGTAAAGGTGAATTACAGAAGGTATTTGAATCTCAAATGACTACTGATTCTTTGATTATGTCTACTGAGTAAAAATGTAAGTGTAAGTGACAGTTAATCGCAATCGTTTGCATACTTAATGGCCACAATGATAAAATCAATTGCTCGTTTTTATAATCATTCATGCGTATAAGAACTAACGTTCCTGATAACTCGCAGATTGCTAAAGGGATGATCACAACTGGAGGAGTCCTATCTGCAAATACATCATCTGTTTCAGTCAGTAATGAATCTAAGTCAGGAACAAGGATGTTTAAGGTAAAGCATAATATATAGTTTCTCTTGCACGTTCACTCACACTACTTTGTAGATGATAATATTTTGTTTGAACTGCAGTTTGGGGAGCTTCAAGTTGCTGTGAGTCCACAGAAAGCCTACGCCGGAGCTGCCATTGCATTCATCTACGGGTATTTGTGGAAACTTGTTTATTACTTTTGAGAAGTGTATCACACTCTTAACAACATTAAGAAACAGTTCATACTTGGATCAAACAGGATACTTTCGTGGCAAATCAGTCAAGGGATCCAAAGCATACCAGAGAACTCATTGCAGTATGCAAATGACAATGCATTGCTAATCGGAAAGGTTAGTGGATCAAGCATTCTACTCTTTATTCTTTAATGCTCATCATATTGTGGAAGTCGAGGATACTTCTTCGTGTTGCTTTGGGGGTTTATAAGTTGACATTTTGTCGTTGTTTTTGTTCTTCTGGGCAGTCTCTAAGAGGGTCTCTTCTAGCTCTGTTTTATGCGTCAACGGTCTTGTCAGGCTTCACAACAGTTGGGCTTATCTTACTCGCTAAGCAGCTTTCATCAGAAAAAGAGTGAATTCATAATCCTTCATGGGTGGTCTCTATTACTCTCATGTGTATAGTGCCAAATATTGGATATACAATAGTAAGATTTACTACTTTTTCTGTCTCTCTGCGTTAAACTATGGAATGTGTTGACTGTTGAGTGTATATATTCTTATAGAGAAAACGAAATATCTTTGTTATGAATAATTGAAGTTTCTCAAGCAATGCGAGAGTTTGATGTTTGATGCATTTCAGGAATACATGCAAAATGTTCATCTATTGTTTGGTAAATATTTGTACGTTGTTCAGTGCTTTTATACGTTGTTCACTAACCGGTGAGTCTAGCAAACGGCACGGAAGCAGTCGTCGCAGCAGAAGTCAGCGTTGGCAGCCTTCAGCGATCTCATATAGCCTTCACCGAAGTAGAAGAACTCTGCGATCAGGCACTCCGCCGCATACACAACTATCAGCACGCCGCCGCCCGACATTACAACAAGAAGATTCACCCGCATTTTTTCGATGAAGGTGACCTCTTGTCCTTCGCAAAGTCTTTGAAAACACTGCTGAACTCAACACCATAAAATTAGGAGCGAAGTGAGAAGGACCCTACGAGATCTCAAAGATCGTCAAATCGGGTGTTTACGTGCTGATGACAATATCAGGCATCAAGGTACCACATTCTCGGAATGCGAACAACCTGTAATTTAGGTTTCACAGTTTCTAGTAACAGTTGAACCATTTAAAGAAAAACTCCAGATCCAACTAAGTGTTATATATACAGTATATCGCAATTCTTCTACAGTTACAAATTTGATCATTTTAGTTTGAATAGTTTCAATATCATCTACTTTTTTAATAATATGTTTATATCTTATAATTCAAAGATTTAAGTGAACGATTAAATGTATTAAACAGTTTTTAATAAAATTAGTCTGTATATAATTTAAAAAACTAAGCTATGAGTCTACGACTGAAAAAAAAAAACAAAAAAAAAAAATGTTGTACCTTGTTAATTTGGAAAAAAAAAATATATATATGTTAGTCAAATAAAATCATGTAATTTAATGCATGAAGTTTGACTAAATGAAAAAATTATCAAAATTTAATATTATGAAATTACCTACCAATTTTAGATATTTTTGCTTTAAACGACCAACAAAATCTATAATATTACTATAATAAAAAATAAATAAATTATTTGAAGACTATTCATAATTATTTAACTTTTTTATGTCTTATGTTTTGATATTTTTAAAATTGGATTTTAACAACACTTTTCCTATGTTTAGTAAACAAATAAAATCATTCCTTCAAATTTCTTTTTAATTTAAATTAAATTTGATTCATGCACTTAACCTATATATATATATATATATATATATATATATATATAGAAATCTAGAAAGAAAAAGGTTTAGTTTTGGTATGTAATCTGTATGAAATCTGATTCATGCACATGATAAGACTTCCAATTATAAAAGTTCAGTAAATATAATTGTTATTTATTTAAATAAAATTTTAGGTGTTTTAATTGATTAATTCAAATTTTTAACTCATTAAAATTTGTGGTTTCACTCTATATATACCCTTGTTCTCTGAGGGATTTTTAAAGAGTTACAAGCAAACATATAGACAACCAAATTAAAGCTACAAAGAAGACAAAGGTATGTGAGTTTTTATATGTAGATTTGAAAAGATTTATTTTGGCATGAGGATTCAATCTCAGATTTTTATTAATCTAGCTTGAATCACACTTGTATTTTTGTCTTCAATTTCTGGATTAGTTTTTATATAAAATGTTTTCACACACTTTTTTCCTTAGATTCATTTAGACACTTGCATGTTTTCTTATAGTTCCTTAACAAACAGATCCATGAGACACCATCAACTATCAAAACTGAAAACGAATAACTCAAAGATTATGATAACAAAACTTTTTTTTTTGAAGCGCGCATCTTTTTGTTAAAGACTTCTATATAATATTGAAATATTATCTTACCATTTAAATATTAAATACCTAATAATATTATATATTCTTAGATGAAAACACAATTCTCGATATCTAAACGTGTGAATAGAAAAACTGTCATATTCAAATATTGTTTTTGTTGTTATAACTCAAAATTTATGGTAAAATATATTATATTAAATATTTTAAAATGTGTCCATCAATTTTTTTAAATAAATTTATTAAATTAAGATTAAAATGAAAATATTATCTTATCATTTAAATATTAAATATCTAATAATCATATAATATTTATATTAAAAAATTTCTCAACAACTAAATTTTTGCATAGAGAAATATCATATATAAGTATGTTATTTGGTTGGATTTCAATTCGTTAATAATATGATTCATCAATTGTGGAACTAATAGAGTCTATATCCGTGTGGGCGTATAGGAATGTCTACTATGGTGAAATCAGAAGAAGCTAAGTTAGAGAATGATAACCCAAAGATTGTTGAGCAAGTCAAGCTTTCTAACGGTTTTGAAGATCAAAAATCTTCTCCTCTTCCCAATGAAGAGACAAAAGAGGAAACCTCTCGTGGTGAAACTAGTGGTGAAAAACCAGGTAATTTAACTAGTTATCTTTTAATGGAATTGAAGAATGATAATACAAATGATTGAGAAGAAGGCAATTAATGATCCAATGGTGAAAAATTCACCACAAAATCTAACTTATTTTGATTCTAATTGGATAGGCAAGGAAAAAGGAGTGGTACAAGATACACTACAAGATAGAATTTCTTCTGTAGCTACTAAAAAAAGAAACACTCCAATATGGTTTAGATTGGTGGCTTCTAATCAAGAGTACGACTTTATTATTCCTCCATTTTTTCTTTGTTCTTTTGTTTCCATTGTCTTGGATATAATTTATATCTTAGATTATAGCATAATATTGTTTTTCTTTCAGCAATACAATTGCACCACTACAACAAATATCTTCTTCTTCCATAAGGGTTAAGTACGTTCGATTTTTCATCTATTTATAATTAAATATTATGGTACTTTCAATAATGATAAAAAGTTTATGATTTTTTTACTTGTTCATACTCATCATAGGAACAGTAATATGCAACTTTCATTTATCAAGAAATACCTTGTAAAGAAACTCGATCTTAAAAGCGAAAATGAGGTAACCTTTTCTTTATCTTCTTTCTTAATCTTTGTGTTTATTTTGACAGAACGATTTATTTGACATATTTGGTGTTTTATGGATTGCAGGTAGAGTTATACCTAGAAAATGAACCTCTCGATTCATCCATTATGTTGCCTGACTTGTGGCAGTATTGGATCTCTACAAAGAAAGATGTTGATGTAAGGAATGTGAAGGTGGGATCTTCAGGCGCTGATTACATCATGGCCATCAACTATGGCCGCAAATCTGGAAATGTGATTTAATCTTCTTAAGGTTATTTATAGCACAAGTTATCTTGTAGCTTTTTTTATCCCTTTTCATGTCTTTAAATTCCGTTTCAGTTATTAAAATAAGTATGTCTCTGCTCTACTTTCACATTTGGTAAGTAAATTTTGCTGATGTAATAGGGCCTAAATGTCCTTTAATAATTTGTTTATCTTTTTTTTTTTTTTTTTTCAATTCGGTTTTAATATATAACTAGTTTGCTAACGACTAACTATAAATAGATTTTTAATTGAACTTGGTTTCCTTGAGTTGGATGAGTTTAAATATTTGTTTAGTTTATTTGCTTACAGAAACTACTATGTCAGCAAAAGATTACATCTATTAATCTAATTATGACTTCTAAAATTTGTTTAATAAAAAAGATTTAGAGTGCCTTTGTAAAAATAATGTTTAATACATATTCATTTTTGAATTGATTACATCGTAATATATAATATTTTGTTCATATTATGCATGTGAGATTTAAAGCTCATATCATGATATATTGTTTCTTTTATTTGATACATTTTATTTTTGTAACACCCCGATCGTCTCTACCAATAGCCGCACGTCCTCTTTCGGGCCCATGGGTCCATCCTTGTCCGACGGCCGGTCTGCTTCGTCCGGGAGGATTTAAAGACTTGTTTACCGATCCTACAAATCACCGTATATGATCTTTCCCTGTGTTTTGACCTCACTCACACAGTTCCGACAATCATTTCCTGGAAGGTCACCCATCCTGAAACTACTTCAGTCCAAGCATGCTTAACTGTGGATTTCTCTCAGGATAGTTGAATGAAAAGATAAGTGCACTTTGGTGATATAGGTGGCCAAATCAATTTTTTTAAAACCTCTCCGCATGCACTACCATATTTATGAAATCGAGGTGTTACAATTTTATTTTTTAAATAAAAAATATTTTATCTCCGACAGATAAGTGACTACAAAAACTTTTTCATGGAGCAAATATTTTCCAAGTGATTTTAATATTAGTTATTTTTAACAAAATATAAGATTATTCATTTTTTTATGTTAAATATCCAACTTTCTATCATGTAAACAAATGAAAAAGTAAGTAACAAATTAATAAAATTTTGTCTGTTGTTTAAATAAATTATAGAGTTATAAATTTCTTATTTAAAGAATAATAAACATTTTTGTACTTTTTTCTTAACTACACTCCGAAGTTACTATTTTCAATTAAAATGCTTGTTATCTTTGAATTACATTATTCATACTACTAATAACACTTTTATCCATTTTTAGTATCACTTTGATGTGTTTCCAACTAGAGTTTAATGCAATCCTAAAAAAATTCAAGCAAATAGCTGCTATATATAATATATGGTCTCAAAACCCTTCTTAGGTTATTTGGAGAAGAAAATGATACAAAACGAAACAAACAAGAATTCTGAATATATGATAACATGTGTACGTTAGAAGTTTGGGATCAAATGAAGAACTTCCCACCTATGAATCTTCTTTATTTTTGGACACAAGATAGATAAGGATGTTAGCTTTCATTTTCAAATTATTTGAAGAATATTGACAATTCGAACACAAGATATGGCCATTCTACTGAAGACATGTCTATCATACGATCAAGTAAAGCAAGCATCAGAAGGAGAGATTGGTCGGACCAAGGAAATGATCAACCAACATTATGGTACATGATCGATCTGCTTGAAGAATCGGCAAAACCCTATGATGTCCGATCGAACCAAAATGAAGATCGACCAATCGATATAGTGCATGATCGATCTCATAAAAGCTTTTGAGATATTCCCAATTTGGTGTCGATTCATCTCTATCTTTCCTTAAACAAACCTCAGTTCCATATATAAGGAAAGCCACGACCCTGCACAACATACTCCTGAATTCTCATACCCTTCAGATGGGCTCTACGCCTTCTTGCTTTGACTTCACGCATTTGCCATTTCGTCTTTCTAAATTCTAAGAGAATATTTTATCGTTAGTGACATAAAAGAAGTAATCTAATCTCTTTCTATATAATGTGTTCATTCATCATTATCACTCATAGTTGCTTTAGATATGTCTGAGTAATTCCATTATTGTGTTTAAACGGTGACTTGGATCTATTTAGATTGATTGGCAATTCTCTAGAGTTGAATATTGTTTGCATGTTCCGCTCATTTATAATGCACATAAATGATATCATGAATCATTTATTGTTCATAGGATTAATTTAGCCATCACAAGTGTGTTAGGTTTCCCGAATTAATTTGGCGAGATTCACGTCTTAACCTGTTAACGCTGAGTTAATGAGCGCTCATTAACTCATCCGTAATTACATTAACTCATCAGTGAGTTTATCTAAATTCTAGAGTAATTTTTCACTACACTGTCTTATTACATACTCCCTCCGTTTCGTTTTAGTTGTCGTTTTAGGATTTAAATTTTGTTTCATAATAGTTGTCGTTTTAGGTTTTCAATGCAAATATTTGGTAAAAATTTCAGTATTATCCCTATTGTTTTAATGTTTTGACCAATGAAATTTTTTATAAAATATATTAATAAATGGTAAAACAGAAAATTTAATGCTTTTCTTAATTTGTGTGAAAAAACCTTAAACGACAACTAAAACGAAACGGAGGGAGTATATATTTGATAAGTTTGTATAATTATTAATTTATGATTTTAATGTGATCATATATTTATATAAGATTTATTTCGAAAATGTTATTTCATTATCTTATCGAATTGTGCTAATTATAACACTAAACCAACTCGAAACCGGACATATATATATTTTTTTTGTCATCCGTAATTAATTATAAGCTCAAAGAGTCATTCCTGAGAAATGTTGTTTATATAAGTGATGTGAGACGGCTCTGTACGAACTTTTCGTGCCAGATTATCCGCTTTAACATTAGCACTACGAGAAATTAAAGATAAAGAGAAGCTTGAAAACTCTTCCTTGTCATTGTGAAATTCCTCTAAATATACTGAAAACGCCGGCCATTCAGTTGGAGAATACACCATCTTCACCAGATCAGAACAGTCTGTATAAAACGCCACCTCTTGATTATCTGTACCAATCATACACTTCATCGCCCAGAGAAGGGCCTCGACTTCTGTATGTAGGGAAGACAGACTTCTACGGAGGTTGGCAGCTCCCATGGTTGGCGGCTCTCCATTTGACGATGTACAGAACCACCTTGTACCAGAGAACTTATCACTTCCTTTCCACGATCCATCTACGAAGCAACGGTACCCTGAATAATTCGAATCAAGAGAAACCTCCCGCACTCGAGACCGAGTTGTCGAAACAACAGAACCATGATTTTCTTCTTGGAGCTCTAATTGAGCCGCTTGCCATAATTGTGCCTCTTTTTCTGCTAACCGTAATACCTCTAACGGATTTTTATCTATATTTTCAAAGATTTTTTCATTCCTTGCTTTCCAAATATACCATATAATCTATGGAAAAGCTGAAGAATCATAGTCTGAAGGTATTCTCCAAAATAAGTGATCCAAATTTGCAAAAATAGATTCCGTGGGAAAATTTCCCAAAGCTGTTGGAATCTGTGAAAGCGCCCAAATCTGCCGTGCCGGGTGGCACTGGAATAGTGTATGATTGATTGTTTCCTCTGATGCACCACATCTGGCACACCCTGTGTCACAATCCATTCATCTTTTCCGCAAATTTTCCGTAACCGGTACACAACCGTTTAAAATTTGCCATAAAAAATGTCGTATTTTCGGTGGGCATTGCACTTACCAATAAACGAAAAATTAGTCTCCGACTTTTCTATCCGTGTGGTATGATATATTTATAAATATGTAGTAATTATTAATTTATCAAATATTAATATATAAATGCATGATGTCCTTTTTTACTGGCAATGAAACGTATTATTGGTGCCGACAAGAGAGATGTAGGTTTTTTTTTTTTTTATAAAACTAGGTGGAGAATCCGGGCTATGCCCGGAAATATACTCCATCCGTCCCACAAAGATAGATTTTTTAGAAATTTCAAATTCTTTAAGAAATAATGTATAATGACAATTTTAACCTTTTAATTTTTTAACACATTTTAAAGAGTATATTATTTATTGTTGTTTAATAAATGTAAAATAGGCAAACTGTTTTAAATTTGAAATTGGAAACACAAAACTTGTATATTTATGGGATAAATTTTTTTTCTAAAAAATTTATCTTTGTGGGACGGAGGGAGTATTTGACAATTGTCTTTTTTTTGGGGGGCTTTTGCAAAAATGCCCCTTTTTCAATGCCACTTTTCAAAAATGCCCCTTCTTTAAAACCTTATAAAAATGATCTTAAAAATATAAGATTTACCCAAATATGTATGTAACATTATTAAAACATACACAAACTACATTTCTATGTATCTAAAATCTTATAAATACTTTATAAATACCTTATAAATGCATTATAAATACCTTTAAAAACCTTTAAAATATCTTGTTAAACCTTTGAAAAACCTTAAAAATCCTTTAAAGTAACTTGTAAAACCTTTAAAACACCTTAAAAAACCTTATAAATACTTGGACCGAGTCTTCAAGTAGTAGTTACAATCCATAAGTAACTTATAAACCTAATAAAACTTTATAAAAATTTCAGATTTAAAAAGGAGCATTTTTGAAAATGGACATCTAAAAGGAGCATTTTTTAAAAGGGGCACACGGTGTGCCGCACACCAAAAGGGGCATTTTTAACAATTTCCTTTTTTTTTTTTTTTGAGTTAGTTCACTTTCTTTTAATTTATTTTATGTTTTGATTTTTTTAAAAAAATTTTAACTTCTTAGTTTCTTCAATATACATGAGTAAAATGTGATGTTGTATCAAACATTTTAACTTAAATTTTTGTATTGGTATTATTAACTTGGTTCTATTTATATATATACGAATTTAATTCATATTCTATTAGCAGCAACAACACAATAGCTCACTCGGATGCAAACCGCATCTCTATCTCTATTATATTATATTGGCTAAGCTTTTTATCCAAGTTAGTATTCAATCAATTTGGAAGGATAGAAATGCTCGCATTTTTACCAATATATATATATATACCTCATCCAACCCAGCCGCTATATATCCATGCCTCAGATGATTCGAAACCGGCTCGTTTCTCTTCAGCCAAAGGTTCCGCATTCTTCTCTATCATCGTTTCTTAAATTTTATTTAGGTTGTATTTCTTTTCCGTTTAATTAGCTCTTGCCTTTTTTTTTGGGTTCATGTTTTGGATGGTTTTTTCTCTTTTGAGATAATTGTAATGGGTAGTGTGGTAAAGTAGAATGCAATTCTTAAAAAGTTATAAAAATCAACATTCAAAACCAGATATCTTCATCAATTATAACTCTCAAGAGTTTAATAATATGCTACAAGAAATTTGATCATTGATAGTACATTACGATAGTGCAGTTTCCGTAACTGTTATTAAAGATGGTATTTGAAATTTGGTAACTCTATAGCATTTCGGATACGTTAAGCTCTAGCAAAGAAGGAAGCTAAATTCTCTCTATACCGCCAATACTAACGAAAATTTCACACTAAGCGCTAAAAAAAAAACTTATGACCAAATTTTTTGTTTTTTGGTCAACATACTTATCTCAAATTGAAATTTTTTTATCATTCTTCTTTTCCTCCCACAAATCTTCTCGATTAATCACCACGGTCGTGAAGTCTCTTCTCCTTCCTCATCACTTGCAGCTCCAGCTCTTCATTTCACTTTCACAGCTTCCTCATCTATCTCTCGTTCCTCTCATTCTTCTTCTTGTCTTCCCTTTCTCTCTCTTTCTCTATTTCTCAATTTCTCCCAACTTCCTCTGTTACTTTACCTTCCATTACCCTAATTTTGCGAATCAATTGAAATTTTTTTCAGAAACCTTCAAAAGTCAAAAGCCTTAATCTTCGATTGTAGCCCAAATCGATTTGTGTCATTATCTTTGTCTCTCTTAATCGTTTCTCGATGGCAAACGAGAAAAATCGTTTTGCCATCTTCGATAGGAGCAACGTCGATGCAACTTTGACCAACCTCGTCACTCATCCCCACAGGTTATGTATGTTTTGTGTAATGAATGTTTTTGATAATTTATGCAATAAAACAAAATTATATATAAATCCAATTAAATATATACTGCAAAACAGTAGGGGTGTCAAAATGGGTAACCCGACCCGACCCGACCCGACCCAAACCCATATGGGTTCGAGTGTTTAATGGACGGGTTTGACCCGACCCATATATTTATATGGGTTGAATTTACATACCCAAACCCATTATTGTAGAAATCCATTGGCTTAATGGGTTATATGGGTACCCATATATATGTATAATAAAATATATAAATAATAAAAATCCAAAAAAATAACATAAAATTGTAAACCAACAAAAGTTTTTAAATAATAAATTAAAAAAATCTAGTTATTTTACTTTTTACTTTTATTTTACATATATTTTACATATATTTTACTTTTTACTTTTAATAATAAATAAATTAAAATAATATTATACATATATTTTACTTTTTACTTTTATTTTTAGGTAAAATGTAAACTTTAATAGTTATTTTAGATATTTTACATATATAGTTGTAAAGAAAAGAAGATATTTTACATATATTTATATAAATTTTACATAATATATCAATATAGATATATATAAATTTTACTTTTTAGTTTTGGTTATGAAACCCATGGGTAACCCATGACCCTAATGGGTTTTACATATTAAACCCATAACCCTAATAGGGTAACCCACTAAAACCCATTTATATATATGGGTAAAATTTTTTTACCCAAACCCACTAAAATCATGGGCGGGTTCGGGTAACCCATGGGTATTAACCCATTTTGACACCCCTACAAAACAGGGATCAAATATACAAATTATATATAAATCAAATTAAATTTATAAAACAAAAAAACAAATGCTACAATACTATATAATACATCATTAAACGTGTGTTACAATAAAGTACTCCCTCCGTTTCGTTTTAGTTGTCGTTTAAGGTTTTTTCACACAAATTAAGAAAGCATTAAATTTTATGTTTTACTCTTTATTAATATATTTTATAAAAAATTTCATTACCCAAAACATTAAAACTGTAGGGATAAAACTGGAATTTTCACCAAATATTTGCATTGAAAACCTAAAACGACAACTATTATGAAACAAAATTTAAATCCTAAAACGACAACTAAACTAAAACGGATGGAGTATTTAATAGCTTTCGATTTTCACTATAATAGATCGACATTTCATAGCATATCTAAAAACGCTATCGTATGTGGCAGTCAATAATAACTGGAGCAGAAACATCGTTTATGAAAACGCTACTAATGACATATTATACCTCTTTCTCATACTAATAATGTAGATATTTTTTATAGTGTTAAAAGATGATAAAGTGCTCGATAGCAAATCACATAAGATTTGGTCCACGTTATTTTCACTTTGCAGGGTCTCACCTTTGACCAACTTCACTGCAAGTGCAACTATATAAGCAGTAAAACATGACTACTGCCTCTACTTAATTTTGCTGGTCTTTTCCGACGAAAATACTAATAAAACTTTTTTCGCCATTCCAAGATTTTGACCTTTTTGTTTTCTCATGCTGTAGTGGCCGAAGCTATGCTCCGTAAGCTATATAATATGCACAGTAACGCACTACATATGTCATAGTGTCATTCTACCATGCACATTGATCATAAATTTATTATTTATGAACCCCAGCTAAAGAACTGGTGCAAGAGGAGAAGCCATACAGATGCCTAGGCTAAGCAAATTGAAATCTAACACAGTACAATGAAACTATCTATTGAAATCTATTTTTATCTCACTTTCCTATTTTATTGTCCTAATTTTCTTATTCCAGCCATTAAGGACAACTGCAAGACATTAGTAAAGAGAGAGTGAAGATAAAGGCTGACCTTATTGATTCTTAAACCGATAATTTAAATTTGCCACCTTTTGCTCTTCCTTTCCATTCTTCAGGTCAAGCTCCAGTCCTAGAAATTGTGTGTATTCTTAGATCCATCTGATTATTCACATGCTTTTTCCCCATGCCTTGATCACGTATATATGTATCATGCACTACAACAATCGATGCAAATGATGGCATGAATACTAAAGCCAAACAACATATATATGACTATATATATATTTGACTGGGTGCCAATGCATTTGCATATGAAAAGACTTGGCCAATACAATAACCGATCCAACTGCATAGACTTTTACTGTGCATTTTGATCTAGAATTTTAATATTAGGGTCAACAAAAACAATTTAACTTGAACTTTCATGTTTGACTAACAAATCAATATATAACAAAGATTGGCAAATACTTCCAATAGATCTTTCGAAGAATGAGTACTATATCATCACCCTCTCATCCTCTTTCGTCAAACCTACATCCCACTTTTTAGATTCCACCATCTGATCCATGCGCAGAAACCTAAAAGAATATCCAGTGGCGGATCTAGGAAAATTGTTTGATGGTGTCAAACTTACAAATGAGTTGAGTTCTAATAATTACAGAGCAAGTCAACAAAGTCATTGCCAGATTGAACACAAACAACTTTCTTGTCCGGATGATCCTAAAGAAGTACTTTGATATTCTTTGAACCATTAGAGAAGTATAGTCAATAATTACTATGACTTGGAATATGTACTACGAAGAGGTTTCATGTATAATCGTGATGATTTAAACATCAAACCAATTAACCAAACGTGTGACTTTGAGTCGTTCGGGTTTCTTCAATTATTTAGCAAACCGGAAGCCAATTTCTGCTTCACCCTCTACCAACTCATCTAAAACGTTAACGCAGCCTAAATCCTTGACAGGTTTCAGGAAAAGATCCCAAGAAAAATTCTCGATTATCAAATCATCACTCATTACAAATGCAAAATTTCCATCACCATGGACAAAGACTCCATCATAATCATTACAACCTCCCAATCTGCTTGCAAATTCTTCTCCTTCGGGTTACAACGAAATCTCTTTGTTCATCAAGTTTCCACAGCTACATCTTGAAGTATCAAAAGTACTAAAAAATTCTCTGCATGATTTGCTTTGCAAAGACAATGGACACATAAAGTCGGTTGATAGTTTACACATGAAACCAAATTGGTGATTTTAGGGTTTCGGTTGAGGAATACACTTTCGATTTCAAGATTTTTTTCTTCGATTTGTGTGATTTCAGGATGTACATGCATGTTAATTTTTGTAAAGGTTGTTGAGACAACCTACGCTGACTTTTTCTCTTAATATTCCGTGATTCTCAAGCAACCTCACAATGGTTCCCAAAGGCATGGTAAGAAAACTATAAAGCAAATCAACAAAATCATTACCAGATTGAATCCAGACAACCTTTTTCTTGTCCAAATGATGTGCAAGAAGAACATTGATCATTCTATTCTCGAATATTTGATCCATTGGAGATTCTAGAAGAAAAAAAAAACTTCACAAAAGATGAGAGAAAATGAGCGCAGAATTAAAAAAATAAGCCTCACAAAAATTGAATCTTTTGAGCTTCCCTTTTGATGGATAATTAGAGTTACAAGTCTCGAGGTGTGTAACCAATAATTACTATCGTTGGGACTAGGAAGAAATCAAACGAGACTTTGTGTTTCCCCCATAAACGCTAGATCCGGTTCTAGTTTCTTCAATTATTTAGTGAACCGGTCTAAACCGGAATCGTACAGTTATTGTTTAGCGTTTAAGTATAATTAAATTAGAGCTCATGTTACCAATTCAACATGTACCTCAGTGGTTCGAAACGGTACCTTCGATGTCGAGGTAATATAAATTACCTTTTTATAAATTGTATAGTTGATGGTCGATGATGCTCTCTCTAATAAATTATCGCTGCTTATGTCAACAACAGTTTTGTAAATGTCATTGAGATCGGCGAAACGGTGAAACTACGAAAGAAGGATTTGATTTTTTTATTTATTTTCTGTTTCTTTTTATTTGTTATTGTTTTAGTTTTGAAGAAAAACTAAAATTATATCAACAATATTCATTAAGGGTATACAACCTATATATGAAGACAACTTGTCGTAATCTTCTGTGATTCTCAAGCAATCTCACAATTGTCCCCAAATGCATTGTAAGAACAATACAGAGCAAGTCAACAAAGTCATGGCAGCTTGAACCCAGACAACTTTTTTCTTGTCCAGATCGATGATCCTTAAGATGCACTTTGATTATTCTTTGAACCATTCAAGATTCTGGTCACAAAGAGCAAAAAGCTTCTGAACCTCAATGAGGCAATAACCCTAATGGATTAAAACATAAACCCTACACTGTTCACGAATAAAAGACTTACACTATTTGAGAAATATAGTCAATAATTACTATGATTTGGAATAAAACTATGCATGAAGAGGTTTCATGCATGTTTGGTTTAAATCATCACGTTCAATTAACATCAAATCAAACGTGACTTTGATTCGTTTCTGGTTTCTTCAAAATTATTTAGTGAACCCGTCTAAACCGGAATCATTCGGTTATTATCTAGCGTTTAAGTACAATTAAATTAGACCTCATGTCACCAATTCAATACGTTCCTCAGTGGTTCGAATTGGTACTTATGTCGGCTCTTCCTTGAGGTAATGTAAATTTCCTTTCTTTTGATTAATTTTCAAAAGTATGACATAAAAAAACATAAGACCGATGATTTCTCAGCCAAAATTCTAAAACGGGATTCTCTAGGTCGGTTGATAGTTTACACATGAAACCAAATTGGTGATTTTAGGGTTTCGGTTGAGGAATACACTTTCGATTTCAAGATTTTTTTCTTCGATTTGTGTGATTTCAGGATGTACATGCATGTTAATTTCTAAAAATGGTTGTTGAGACAACCTACGCTGACTTTTTCTCTTAATATTCCGTGATTCTCAAGCAACCTCACAATGGTTCCCAAAGGCATGGTAAGAAAACTATAAAGCAAATCAACAAAATCATTACCAGATTGAATCCAGACAACCTTTTTCTTGTCCAAATGATGTGCAAGAAGAACATTGATCATTCTATTCTCGAATATTTGATCCATTGGAGATTCTAGAAGAAAAAAAAAACTTCACAAAAGATGAGAGAAAATGAGCGCAGAATTAAAAAAATAAGCCTCACAAAAATTGAATCTTTTGAGCTTCCCTTTTGATGGATAATTAGAGTTACAAGTCTCGAGGTGTGTAACCAATAATTACTATCGTTGGGACTAGGAAGAAATCAAACGAGACTTTGTGTTTCCCCCATAAACGCTAGATCCGGTTCTAGTTTCTTCAATTATTTAGTGAACCGGTCTAAACCGGAATCGTACAGTTATTGTTTAGCGTTTAAGTATAATTAAATTAGAGCTCATGTTACCAATTCAACATGTACCTCAGTGGTTCGAAACGGTACCTTCGATGTCGAGGTAATATAAATTACCTTTTTATAAATTGTATAGTTGATGGTCGATGATGCTCTCTCTAATAAATTATCGCTGCTTATGTCAACAACAGTTTTGTAAATGTCATTGAGATCGGCGAAACGGTGAAACTACGAAAGAAGGATTTGATTTTTTTATTTATTTTCTGTTTCTTTTTATTTGTTATTGTTTTAGTTTTGAAGAAAAACTAAAATTATATCAACAATATTCATTAAGGGTATACAACCTATATATGAAGACAACTTGTCGTAATCTTCTGTGATTCTCAAGCAATCTCACAATTGTCCCCAAATGCATTGTAAGAACAATACAGAGCAAGTCAACAAAGTCATGGCAGCTTGAACCCAGACAACTTTTTTCTTGTCCAGATCGATGATCCTTAAGATGCACTTTGATTATTCTTTGAACCATTCAAGATTCTGGTCACAAAGAGCAAAAAGCTTCTGAACCTCAATGAGGCAATAACCCTAATGGATTAAAACATAAACCCTACACTGTTCACGAATAAAAGACTTACACTATTTGAGAAATATAGTCAATAATTACTATGATTTGGAATAAAACTATGCATGAAGAGGTTTCATGCATGTTTGGTTTAAATCATCACGTTCAATTAACATCAAATCAAACGTGACTTTGATTCGTTTCTGGTTTCTTCAAAATTATTTAGTGAACCCGTCTAAACCGGAATCATTCGGTTATTATCTAGCGTTTAAGTACAATTAAATTAGACCTCATGTCACCAATTCAATACGTTCCTCAGTGGTTCGAATTGGTACTTATGTCGGCTCTTCCTTGAGGTAATGTAAATTTCCTTTCTTTTGATTAATTTTCAAAAGTATGACATAAAAAAACATAAGACCGATGATTTCTCAGCCAAAATTCTAAAACGGGATTCTCTAGGTCGGTTGATAGTTTACACATGAAACCAAATTGGTGATTTTAGGGTTTCGGTTGAGGAATACACTTTCGATTTCAAGATTTTTTTCTTCGATTTGTGTGATTTCAGGATGTACATGCATGTTAATTTCTAAAAATGGTTGTTGAGACAACCTACGCTGACTTTTTCTCTTAATATTCCGTGATTCTCATTTTGAAAGGTGAACTAGGGGTCAGATCTTCAGTTTCCATCAGATTGTTGGCTTAAAAATCATTACCAGATTGAATCCAGACAACCTTTTTCTTGTCCAAATGATGTGCAAGAAGAACATTGATCATTCTATTCTCGAATATTTGATCCATTGGAGATTCTAGAAGAAAAAAAAAACTTCACAAAAGATGAGTTAACTTCTTATAGTTCGTCTCTTAGTTTCACCTTGTGGATGAACGAAGATAAACCTGCAGATTTGTTTCTCTGCTCTCATCACAAGTCATTTGATATTAACTTCATTACACTCATGAATACAATTTTTTTTTAATGAACTTATGTTGTTCGACATAATGCCTCAATGAGAATTCTTTTTCTGATTATAGTTGTTTTATGAATTAAACTATTCGTTTATGAGAAGAAAGCTAAAGCGATGCTAAAGATAGAAAATTTGAGGGTCTTGAAACATATTTTAAAGGCCTACGAAGAAAGGAGTGAAGGTGGCTGCCAAGAAAAAGATGGTATGACCTTGATCTGTTTTTTTTCTAATTTGTAGTAAGTTTTCGAACATTCAATTATTGTGTGTTTCTATTTTAAATGTTGAGTTTCTTTTTCCTGTGCCTTGCTTGATTTTGATGCAAACTTGATATTTCGATTAACACTTTTTTGGATGTGAAAGAGTTCGATAAGAGAGCAAGTTTTGGCTTCGTTGTTGCCGAATTCAACAAGGACTTGTCATTTTTCAGTCTCTCGAGAAGCTAATTTAAATGCAACTATGTCCTTTGACAAGTTTATGCTCTAACTAGCTAGTGTGCAGTTTTTTTTTAGGTACAGAGTGCAAAAATATATTTCTTTTCTTGACCAACCATAATATTTACTTTGCAGGAGCTACGAGCAGAGTCTGTGATTTATATATTACTTTCTAAGTTTGAGTTTAAGTTTCCTAAAGGTCTCTGTTTTGTTTATTTATGTTTTTTTGCTACATACAAAATGAGAAGGAAGGTGTTTAGGAGAAGGAACTTGCATGTGGTTGCAGGAGCTTAAGTGGTAAGACGTTTCTTCAAGTTTTAAACTCCCTATTAGCTTAATTCTAAGGCTATCATGATTATGTCCAAGCTAACCAAGTACGTAGTATACATATGTGTATGTTTGGTAGATGTATTCCCATGTGTCTATTTCTTTTTTCATCTTAGTGAAAAAGAGTTCTAAGATGGTTTCTTTTGTCCCCTTGTTCTTATGTCATTTACTTGAAACCTCTTTATTTTACTAGCTTATGGTTCGTGTTTCAGTTGTATTGTCTTAATCATGACGTGACTCAACAGTTTTTCATGAAGTGTCTTCACTCAAAATCTTTTGTTTCATGTAGCCGATCGACGAGAGGGCTAATAGAAACAATTGATGAGGAGGCGAAATAGATAGAGGGGAAGAAATTGAAGAGATTGAAGTATTTGTTTTCGTGCATTTTTGTATGTCTAATGTGTATTGACTTGGTCTTGTTCAATTAACAGTTAATAGGCACTATGGCGAGACAAACATGAATGTTCATAGTAGCAGATCTCACACCATCTTCAGAATGGTATGGTTCATAAGCTATCAACAGAACCTTCTACATTATAAAGTTTTTAATCTGATACAATCTCTATGGTGTGATAGGTAATTGAGAGTAGGGGAAAAGATAATAGTTTTTCAGATGCTATCCGCGTCTCAGTCTTTTGTTTAACTTATTTATATGCTACTTTTTCTTGGTAAGGTTTTATGTAGACTTACCTTAAGCGTTATTCTTTTCAAGGGTGGAGGCAGGTCTTCTGCTAGAGAGACCATTGGAAGAGTTGCTCCTGAGCTTTGGCAAGAAAATTTTGAAGCAATTTCCAGGATTTGAGGTGTGTTTACTTTCAGTCCATGAACGTTGTTGATTGTATTGGTTTCGTTTGCTTTGTTTTATTGTAAAACAGGTTAAGAGAGAGGATGGTTTCAAAGACTTGTTTTCGTCATGTGATAAGAATGTTGTGAGGCTTAGTTACGAGATAACACATTCCACGGGTATAAAGAAGCTAGTTTAAGAAGATGGTGATTTTGAAGGCTTTAAGAAGTTTTTTATTTTCTCCTTATGATTATAGTTTTAGTTTGTTTAAGACTAGGCAGCATTTTAGTAATTAGTATAAGACTTAGTATGATGTTATGTATTATGACTTGTTTGGTTAATGTAATCTTACTTGTTGATGATTTATAAAATATAAAAATTATATATATATATATATATATATATATATATATATGTCCAATTAAGTAAATTTTACAAAATTGGGTTCCAATATAAAATTTATTTTATAAATCAAATTAAATTTATTTAGCGAAAAAAAAATCTACGACATTATATAAAATAGCACTAAACGTGGGTTACAATAAAGTATATTATAGCACTTGACTAGCGCAATAATATGAAAATGCTATCGTATGTGAGGGTTTACCATAACTTGCCGAAAATGCTATCGTATGTGAGGGGTCTATAATAACTGGGGCAGAAACAACGTTTATGAAAACGCTATGAATGACGTATTATAGCACTTCTGTCGTTAGGCCTGGGCAAAAAACCCGGACCCGATACCCGAACCGATACCCGGACCGAAAAAATCGGGTTGGGGTGGGTTAGGGTATTAGAAAATTACCTCACTGGGTAGAGTATTGGATTACCAGTGGGTATCGGATCGGGTCGGGGATTACCCGTTACCCATTTAGGGTACCCACAAACCCGAAGAATACACATGTTTATATATGTATATAGATAATTAGATATATAGTCTTATATAGTTATATACTTATATGTATGTCCTAGGTTTTAGGTTTTGTGACTTTTGACGTTTGAGTTTATATATGTATATAGATAATTAAATATATAGTCTTATATAGTTATATACTTATATATATATGCAATACACATATGTTTATATATGTATATAGATAATTAGAATCTACTCTTAACACTTAAGAGTGAAATAGTCATCTTTGTTATTTTGGATTGGATTTAGTATTTAAATGTCATGTTTGATGTTCTATTCTCTTTGTTTGATCATTTGAGTATGTAAAGTGATTTTAAACTTCGGGTATTACCCAGACCGACCCGAACCCGATAATACCCGAACCGGACCGGAACCGAAACCATAGGAATACACGAATGGACCATAAATTCATTACCCATTCAACCCGAACCCGAACGGGTTTTACCCGAACCTGAACGGGTTACCCATATGCCCAGGCCTATATGTCGTGTTAAGAATGTGGATATTTTTTGTAGTGCATGTTAATTTCTAACAAACTGAAACCAAATAACAAAAACACATAAGATAGATGAAAGGCTAGAGAGACAAGTTTTACAAAAGCTAAGAATTCTTTTGCCAATAGAAATTTTGAGTTTATTCTTCTAGCTTCTTTGACAGCAATTCCGAGAGACCATTGGTTAATGCAGAGGATGACACAACGTAAGCTTTCACACTACAAGAAAAACTTACATTCTTAGCGCGGAAAAAATGCTATCATAGGTAATACATAGCGAAATAACAACTGCTATGATTGCGGTAGCTATGGTAGATACCCCACCTACAATAGCATTAATTTTGTCTGCTATAGTATGTTCATCTACAATAGCACTTTTTTAATGTCTTTATTTATTGTTTCATAGCAATAATCGAATGCCATTACTACCTTTAATAGCATTTATTTGTTGTTATTGGTTAGGTATATATTAAATATAATAATCCTTTTATATTATATATTTTGGTCAATTTTGTTTTTTTTTACGCTATTTTTTCGGAAAATATTAATGTTAACAATTATATAAACTTAAACAAAATATGTTTATATAATTGTTAACATTACAAACCAACAAAAGAGTTAGATCAAAGTTTTACAAAAAAAATGGAAATAAAATTAAAATGCTCATAATTCTGTCGAGCTTCCATATATTGCTCCTGCCTAAACGAGATATCGTGGTTCCCCGCCATCATCAGCTCGTGATTTGTCATTTCATCACAGTAACAAAATATTGGCCAAAGGACTTGCTCAATGAATCCCATCATTGGCATCAAACATACTTGACCTATTACAACAAAATCGAAATCAACCACAAAGCCAAAACTCAGGATATTCATATCACTTTGAAGAAAAAGAAGAGATACAACATCTTCATCTGTATACCTGAGAATTCCTTTTAGAGGTCCTGCTGAGGCAAACCTATTAGAGGTTTTGCATCAAATATATGTGCATAGTTATTCATCAATGTCCCAGCCTGAATCTACCTGCAAACACAAATGTTCACAGTCAAAAATCACAAGAGGTAAAGGAACAAACCATTCTCATGTTGTTGGTAGCTCGCTTGAAGTTTCCTCTTAGCAAACTGGAACTTTGCGTCTGCATCAAGAGCTTTGAGTTTCTGCCATGAACAAAGAAGGATTAAAACCGTTACTTCCCTGCTCAAGAATACGACTAAAACTCTTTGATTCCCACACTCACTTCTTGTTAAGGTCCTGGAGCTTTTCACTTCTTGCGTCTGCATCAAAAGCTTTGAGTTTCTGCTACCAACTCCTTCCATTCACTGCATATACACATGAAAACCTTAATGGCACATTTAAAAGAGTAAAGAAATTGCCAAATTTCGTGTTCTTTAACGAAAGATAAAACTCATACAGGATAATAGTCTTTGCGAGTTGGCGAATCTTATCAAAACCCATGTTTCCTCAAACCATTAACAGCCTTTCCGATTTCAGTACTCTGAAAGAAGAATCTCAAAACCTTAAGATCAACAACAACAAACTTCATACACTAATCCACTAGAGACCGACCTTAAGAATATCCAAATTCAAAGACATCAATTGAAGCTTTCTCAAGGATTCGAGCAACACCGAGATTGGCTGCAAACACAAGAACAAGAAACAATCAGAATCAAGCTTCACATCAATGGAATCAACAAAGATTTTTGATTGCGATTTTAGATCAAAAACCTCATCTATAATCTATTAGCTTTGCTCTCTTTACTACCACCAGCTTCTTCATAATCTTCATCAACATCAACCCTCGTAACACCATCATCACCGGCGACTCCACATCCCAAATTAGCCTCTCCCTCTTCGTCGTCCCCAGGAATCGTAAGCTCGAGATGGTCGCATCTGATGCATCGATTCACTCTACAAGAGAAAAGAAGCTCAGAGATTTTTTCCCTTCTCGATTTAAATCTCTTAGGATAACCTGTAGCAAAAACAAGACGAAATAAAGAAGTAAAATTAGGGTTTATGACAAAATCGAAGGAAAGGGGGAAAAAGAGAGAGGGAGACTGAGAGGGATAAAGCGGCGGTCGAGAGAGAGAGATTGAAGTCGTCGACGAAGTATCTGGCACCATCTTCAACTTCGGATCTTTCGGCTCCTCTTCAACCACCTCAACCACCAGCCCCGTGAAACGTCCATCGCCGGAATCGAAGGAAGCCGACGAGCCTAGACGCAAGAAACTGTTTCTTCAACGATCTGAGGAAGAAGACGCGAATCTCATCGGATATTCGAAGATTCCGCTTCCAGTGGTGGAATTCAATCCGACGAGAATCCGATCTTCTCGCTCCAATGCAATTCCTGAAGCTGAGCTTGTGAATCCAGAAAGCTCTGCAGCCAATAAGGTGAATTGAAATTAGGGTTTGGAGATGGAGACTTGGAGAATAGAAGAGATAGTGGATTTTTTCCCTAAGTGTTAAGAGGGAAAATGAACCGCTTGTTTTTCACTTAAGCGGGCACTTAAAAGATAGGCGTGAAACCAAAAAAAAAATTTCGGCATAGCATTTATAAAATGCTATAATAAAGTATTCCAATCCGACGTAGTCTTTTTCATAGCAAAATCGAAAATCGTGCTATGCTTAAGTGCTATCAATGTAATCTTTTTTTGTAGTGTCAATAAATTGATAGCTTGTATTTAGAGAGACATTGAGTTAGCCCTATCGTGTAGTAACTTATGGGACAAGAAAAGGACTTAATATTAATTATGCATACCTCTGTTCTACTGATAGTAATCTCTTTGATGTTGACTTCATCGAAACTAATCTTCAGTTCTTTAGCTCCCTCATTGTAAGATTTGGATTCAGTGGAGTGATTTTCAGATCATCTGACACAAGAAACTTCTTGTTACTCTTCACAAACCCACCACTACTTTTTGACACGCCACTTATCTCAGTTTTTGGATCCATTGGTCTTAGTTTGTTGAGCGTATCCTCGCAACCTCCCACAAAACCATGATCTTCTCAATAAGAAATTGAACGGTAGAAACACAGGCGGATTTTGGACCGTGATGCCAAGAAGTTTTTTTCTACAATTGTAATACCAAGGAACGGATATCTCACCGCAGCTTAAGCCTTTGCGGCTTCTGAACAAGTTACCAGTACATCCCAGTCCATCATCATCATCACTACCAGAGATCTCACATATATACATCCCAGTCCATCATCATCATCACTCTTTACTATGACTGTTTACTTTTGTTATAGTAAAACCGACACTAGCGTTTTTCTTCTGCTACTGATTTTTCTAGCTTTCTCCTAGACATTTTATATTTCTCATATAAATTTTCAGAAAATAATACGAAGTACAAACAACGAACTTGTATATTACTTGTAAAATATGTTCATTACCACACATAACACACTTGCAAACACAAACTAATGTCCCAAAGTCAAAGAAGTTAAGAGAAGAAAAAAAAAACTAAGAAGAGGGTAAAAATTTCTAGAAAAGCAGTTGAAAGGGAAGAACAAAAAGACCAATATCAGAGTAAATCAGTTTATCATTAGGCCAAGCCACAGTAGTGGCTACTGGCTACTGCATCGGAAATGAATTCAACTTCTGAATTTGGTCTCCACACTCTTGCGCCATCAATCTTTGAAATCTCTACCCAAACGTTGGTAGCATTAAAGGAATGTGATGGACTTTAGTAGCTGGATCAGTTGAAAAAACTCTTCCTTCTCCAACTCTTGCTCCAGAATTATCACAGTCTAAGAAGATGCACTTCCACTTTCCACCTTTGCTACCGCTGGTACCAGGGGCGGTTTTGTTACCAAGACTCTAGCAGTCAATGAAAAAAATAAACCAAATCAATAATATACATGAAGAAAATGTTAAACATGTGATATGTTAAAATTATTCTAAGAAGAAATTGCACCTCGCCCAAAGCATCTCCGCTAACTTCCTGAGAGAGCCTCTTGTCGAAAAACGCACGGCTGCATCAAACAAACGAAAATGAAACCCAATAACGAATAGATGAGCAACTCCTAAAACTACAACGAATCACAAATAAAAGGAAGATAATGCGATATAAAGAAAAGATCGATGTTGAACTGATGAGAAGAGAAAGATGGATCGGAGCTGCTAAAAGGCTGACAAAAACGGCTGCACTATATGAAACTTTCAAGATTTTGATGTACTTAAAACACTAATATAATTTGGATGCCTAAAGCCCTTGCTTGTTGGGTTTTATAATGTCGGCGCGGCTTAGCTTTAGGGGTTTTCCTAGAAATAGGCATGACCATGGTTACGATTATTACGGTTATGATTGATTAACCACTGGTTACGGTTAAAATTTTTTTTAACCGTAACCTTAACCACTATACATATTGTTATAGTTAAATACGGTTACGGTTAAATACGGTTACAATTATTAAATGATTACGTTACGGTTAATATCGGAATCGAAATCTTACGAGTTACCTAACCTTTAATACTACTTCTAATAAGATGAAAAGTATGTTATAAACCAATTTTTTTTCATTTCGAGCAATATAGCATTCGACATATTTTTCTAAGGTAGATTGTTTCATATGCAATATCATTTATTTTTTTTGAATATCTTTATCTAAACATTCGATATTTAAAGTTACAATTATATTTTTTAGGTTTTAACTATGCTATTAATAGTGCGGTTATTATATGTAATTATATATATATATATATATATATATATATATAAGGTTTTAACTATTCGGTTAATAGTGCGGTTAACCGTACGGTTTTGATACGTTTACGGTTAATTAACGGTTACAGTTAGTATATTTTTTAACCGTAACTAATCTATTTTTACGGTTTAACGGTTACGGTTTTCAACCGTTTTATACGACTACGGTCCGGTTACAGTTGAGAAACGGTCAGGTTACGGTCCGAAATACGGTTACGGTTAGCTTTTGGTCATGCATAGTTCGAAAGATGAATGAGGTAACTTATAGGAGAAGCAATAAACAGGTAGGTGTAAATGAACTGGGCCTATATTTTAAGGGCTCTTAATTAAATCTATGAGACAATAATTTTATCATGATAGGCCTTTATTGTTAATTCGTGGGTCGGTTAGAATTTCTGTGAACTTACAAAATGACATCGGTTTGATTTTAAAAAATTAATGTGGATTTGGGAATCAAACCTGAGATTTTTATTGATTATACATAGATTTTTTTTTTCCTCTAGATTTATTATTTATTGCAAATTATGAGAACTGTTACATAGACGATTTTACAACTGACAATTCCTTCCGACTCTTATTAGATCCACGACAGACGTCAGCTCTTTCACCTCCTTCTTCATGCTTACCTCCTTCACCTCCTTCTTCATGTTCTTGATGGACATTTCCCTCTCTGCGTAGAATCCTGGCAAACGGCTATAATTGTAAATCGTTGGAAATCTCATGCACACTTACCTCCAATAATCTGTAAATATATTAATAAATCGCAGTATCTGGGACTCGAACCCCAAACCTCTGGGTGTAGAAGCATTAATTAACCCTTGATCAAGCAATGGACCAAGGAGACTTCCACGATTATACATAGATTTACATATGTTTTTTTCAATGCCCAAATTAAAGCAATTCACTGATTTTAGATGATTTTTACTTTTTAATGTAAAACCAATTTAAATTTGGGTCTACTCATATTTCATTTTGGACACAAACATCATACAAAAGTAAATATTAAATTTTAAGAGATTATGTATATAGTGTATTAAGTAAATTTAGGATTTTTTTCCTTTTTGTTACAAAAATTAGGATTTGTTTCCTTTTTGTTACAGAATTTAGGATTTCTTTCCTGTTTATACGTAAAGTGTCTATGTTGACTACTTGGCTTGGAAGTTAGTGAAAAGAAGTGAATGACAAAATTTAACGCTTATCACAATTGGAAAATATAATTACAATTTTATCTTTTTTAAAGAAGACAAAATGTAACGCTTATAACAAACAGACATTTAGTTACAGTTTTAATTAGATGGCATAAACAAGACAAAGTTGGAAGATTATAAAAAATATATACTTAATTACACTTTTTATAAAACGGCTAATGCATTTGTTATTAGCTGGCATAAACAAGTTTATTTATTGGTGTTTTTTTCTTAGTGAGCTTTATTAGTTAGAACTTAGAAGTGAAAACAAAATTTAAATTTTGATAAATACATATATTTTAAAAATTATTCTCACTCTAAAGAACGGTTCATTTTTGTTGACAAAAAAAAAAAAGAACGGTTCATTTTTGTTGGTCAACAAAATGACTAATTCCTATTACAATTTGTTAACTGCAATGGAAGTGTAAAATATACAGACCGGTAATAAAGTAAAAATCATCTAAAATCAGTGAATTACATATGTTTTTTTTAATGCCCAAATTAAAGCAATTCACTGATTTTTAAGTTCTAATATCATAAACTTAAAAATCCAAATTTAGCTATTTTCCAATTTGGATTTTTAAGTTTATGATATTAGAACTACAATTCATTTATATAAAGAGACTCTTAAGAAAATATGTCATATTTTATACTCAAGTTAACAGAATAGTTTACATTTTCAAAAAATAAATTAAACCGTAAGTACTTAACCCTAACCTAAAATCGTAAACAAATCCTAAGAAAAAATAATAATTTAATTTAAACTCTAAAATCTTATCCCAATTTAACAAAATGATTTATTTCCTCAATATCAAAAGATTTGGCCTTTTCTACAATTTATACTTTTTTAGTTTTTTTTTTTTTTATCGTTCTTTATATAACTACATCGTATACGATATAGACAACAACTAAAAAAAATCTTCGTTTTCTCCGCCAAAGCTTGTATTGAAAAGTTCTTTCATCGGTGTATTAAGGGTTGTCACAGTGCTTGAAAGAATATCGAGATGGCGTATTAATCGAGAGCAAAACATATTCTACAAATTTTTGTTTGTGACGACTCTTGAATAGGAATATTGCATTACCGTCGCAAAAGAGAGAGTTTCCGAGATTTGGTTTGACGGTAAACATAGCCGAGGTCAACCGAAATAGTCCGATGATTACTATCTTATATCTTCGTACTGTATATGATGGGTAACATCGATGTCATACACTAAAGGTTAGTTTTACCTGTTGATTTTTTCTATTGTAACTGGCTTATTTCTAATCGGTGTATGAACTATTATATAGGCTTTTAAATTAGATAAATCAATCAAGCTAACAAATTGTAAATTAATTTAAACATTTTAGATATTTTATATTCAATACTTTGGAAAATAATTGCTCCAAAATAATCACCAGAAAAATGATGCAACTTATCAATCAACTTAGATTTTATTATATTTTTTGTCTTTTAAAATCAGTGTATTGTAGTTTTGGCAAAATTGTTTTTTTTTTGCCTTCTATCAGAAAAAAGATGGAGTCTTAAGTTTTACATATCAAAAGAAAGTGTTATTCTTCTTTTCTTTAAGTTGCCAATACTTTTCTATTATTGCATATAAGCTTTAAATATATATTAAGTCTGGACGCATAGTGGATATTCAAAATTTATAAGCTATTCGTGATCGGTTCTGTACGGATAATGACTTTCTGATCTATATCCACTATGCCGTTTATTGGATATCTGATGTCCGCATATCCGTTAAAATTCGGATATTCGGTCGTAAATTTGATCACTCCAAATATTATATATATATATATATATATATATATATATATATATATATATTTATGTTTTACTGAAACTTGGTTCTTCTCAAATTAGACCTGGATTTACCTATGTTGAAAAAGTACATAGTGGCACGTAAGTTGTGAAGCGTTATTTTGCTCAGGCTAGACTAGGTTTATGAAACTTTTTTTTTTTTTTTGAATAACCGCGGGTCTCCCAAAGGCTTTCTAGGCCCAAGGACTAATCCCACGAGGCTGGCAATTCCCCTATGTAAACCTGCCAGTGGCCTTGCCTCGAACCCTGGTGGCGGAAGTCACAGCTGTGACCCCTTTACCACTAGGCCACAAGGCCCGGTTGAAACTATTTTCTCTCGAGATTATTTCAATCTCAGACGTTGATCTTTGGTTTAATGTTGGTTTTAAGGCCACCATGAAGTCCACAATCCAGGGACTTCAAGAAGGTCCACGAGTGTCGGCATCAATGTTCAAGAAGTTTTTGATGTTTTTCTCAGCTAGGATATGCTCTAGAAACTTGGGGGAAAAAAATAAAAAGAATGTTAATAAACCTCCCTTATGTTATAACACCCCGACCACCCCTACCAGTGAGCACCCACGTCCTCTCTCGGGCCGTAGGCTCCACGCTTGTCCGACGATCGGTTCGCTACGTCCGAGAGGCTTTAAAGACTTGTTTACCGACCTTACAAATCACCACATGATCTTTCCCCGTGTTTTACCCTCACTCACACGGTTCCAACAATCGCTTCCTGGAAAGTCACCCATTTTGAAATTGCTTCAGCCCAAGCACTCTTAACTGTGGAGTTCTCTCAGGACAGTTGATCGAAAAGATAAGTACACTTTGGTGACATAGGTAGTCAAATCAAATCTTTTAAACCTCTACACATACACCACGATATTCCTGAAACCATGGTGTTACAATTCACCCACACTAACAAATCGCAACGTCCTCATTGCACAGCAAGATCGTCACCCCCGACGGTGTGAGTCTTCTTGACTCCACACTCGCCATGGTTCGGCACTGATACCACTTGTAACGCCCCGACCGCCCCTACTAATGAGCACCCACATCCTCTCTCGAGCCCGTAGGCCCCATGCCTTTCTGACGGTCGATTCGCTAAGTCCGGGAGGCTTTAAAGATTTGTTTACCGACACTACAAATCACCACATTATCTTTCCCCGTGTTTTGGCCTCACTCACACGGTTTCGACAATCACTTCCCGGAAGGTCACCCATCCTGAAATTGCTCCAGCCCAAGCACGCTTAACTGTGGAATTCTCTCAGGACAGTTGACCAAATAGATAGGTGCACTTTGGTGACATAGGTAGCCAAATCAATTCTTTTAAACCTCTACGCATGCACCACCATATTCTTGAAATCGGGATGTTACATATGTTTTCTTAGTAATAGTATCCTAGCGAGTAAAACAGTTTGTGGCGTCTTGATACAAACAACAATCTTAAGAACGTTATTGTTTGTATAAAAAGACGTCACATAAAGTTTTATATATTATAAACTCGATAGACATACCCTAGAAAAAATAAATTGTGCGCAGAAATCGAAAGGCTGGAAAAAGAGGCAAATGAACAAGAGGCTGCAGACTACTCTCAACTGAAGCTAAATGAAGAGCATCGCT